TTCCAACTCACAGCCTCTCTTCTCTCACTGAGAGGCAGATCACTCTCTGGTAAACAAAAACAATAACAATCACCGCGTGGCATTGTGTATATTCCCTGCGACGGTAGGGGAGGGGGGGGGAGGGCTAACAGAGTGAAATATTGTCACGGTAACGCGCCGGTTACTGTAGACTCACGGTCCCTTCGGGTGATCTGCTCGCCCCAAACAGACCAAAACACAACCGTCGCAAATGACACACCCTATACAACAAGACTAAGGCTTGGTTTAGATTGCTAAAATCAACCCACCAGCACTCCATCTCTGGTTCCCTGTCATGTCTTACTTATATGCAAGCTTGCTGTTGGAAGGAGAGAAAACTCATCCAAGTCCAATCCTTTGTAGAAGTCCTTCACGTATAACAACTGGTGAGACAGCGGAAAGTTCCAAATCAGGAAATATGTAAACAAACACACTTCCCTAATTGGATGTTTTTTCGCCAAATTTCTTCGTTTGTTCATGCACATGCTGCGCCAAAAACCCCGAAAGAGAGAAACTGCACAGGTTCAAAGCCTTGATGAAAAATCCCTTTGAATAGAAAAGTTTTTTTTTTTAAAATTGATTTGTTTTTCCCTTTTTCTCTTTCTCCCTTTTCGTATTATCAAAAGCTATCAACTGGATTACAATCATCTTTGAGAAAATGCAATTCAAATCATTCGCTTTGGTATCTGCCTTGGCTGCTTCTGCTTTGGCTGAATCTAGTGAGTATTCATCATTGTAGTTCTGAGGTTGTTGGCTTGTCCGTGAATATCTAGTGTTTTCCTCTGGGTGGTGCCATTGTCTGCAAGTTCAAAGTGCGTGAGAGGAAATCGAGGAGAACAAAGTGATCAATGTTTGATTCTGAAGTGTTCAATATCAGAATATGGGCTCGAGATACTCGGTGTGCCTTTTCACTTCATATTGTTCTTGTCTGGTGTTATTGTTTTCTTTTGCTCCTCGACCACGCTTTGATTTCTAACTCGAACCTTTCGACTTTTTCGGCCTGCTCAACGGTAACCACAGAGATGGTAACTTGCATGAGGAAAAAACAACAGATAACACTATAAACAAAAGAAACTGGGTATATGAAAATACGGGATCAAAACGTGGGATCATCAATCATAACTGACGTACAATTCTCTTCACTCGACGAATTTATTTCCTCACCGTTTTATGGTTAAGAAACTCTGCGACTTTTTTGTGTGTTTTCGAATTCCAAGCTTTTCCTGTTCTATTTTTAGCTCGCGAACTTGTTGCTCGGGAGCGCAAAAATTTGGAAATCCCAGTGCCTTTTTTTTTCTGTCCTAGCAACGGCCAACAACAACCAGGACAACCAGAACAATAACGAATAGCCTTACTAACACGTTTAAATAGCTTCAAGTGCTTCTGCTGCTACAGCATCCACCTCTATCTCTATCGCATCTGGTGGTTCCTTCACTGAGACCGCCACTGCTACTGCTCAATCTGACTTGGATGACTTGAACTCTTGTGTTGCTATTAAGGGTGACGTTTACATCACCGGTTCATTGGGTTCTGCTGCTTTGGACAATGTTCAAGCCATTTACGGTTCTTTGACCATTGACAACGCTACTTCTTTGGCTTCTTTCTCTGCTGGTTCCCTTGGTGCTATCACTGAACAATTCAACTTGCAAAGTTTGACCATCTTGTCCACTTTGAACTTGCCAGCTTTGTCCACTGTCGGTTCCGTCAACTTTGTTACATTGCCAGCTTTGTCCAGCATTAACTTGAACACTGGTGTTACCCAAGTTAACTCCTTGTATATCTCTGATACTTCTTTGGAAACATTGGATGGTTTCGACATCACCTCTTTGGACACATTCAACGTGAACAACAACAAGAACTTGGCATCCATTGACTCTCAATTGCAAAACGTCAAGGTTGCCTTGGAGGTTTCCTACAACTCTGAGAACGTCGAAGTCACCTTTGACGAGTTGGAGTGGGCTAACAACATTACTTTCCGTGATGTTGCTTCTGTCTCTTTGGCTAAGTTGTCCTCTGTCAACGCTTCTTTGGGTTTCATTAACAACAGTATCACCGAGATTGACCTTGCCACTTTGTCCACTATTGGTGGTTCTTTGTCCATCGTCTCTAACGATGAGTTGGAGTCTCTTGATTTCACCAACTTGACTTCCATTGGTGGTGGTTTCGTTATCTCTAACAACTCTGCTTTGAACAACATCTCTGGTTTCGACTCTTTGGAGACTGTTGGTGGTGCTGTTATCTTCCAAGGTAACTTCACCAACGCTTCTTTGCCATCTTTGAGAAGAGTCTCTGGTGGTTTCACTGTTGAGTCTGAAGGTGAACTTGACTGTGATGAATTCAACAGCTTGAACAGCAAAGGTGTCATCCAAGGTGACTCCTATGTCTGCTCTGCTGCTTCCACTTCTACCTCCATCCAAGTTTCTTCCACTGCTTCTGGCGATGACTCTACTTCTTCAACTACTCACTCATCCTCCGCTACCGCTTCTAACAGTGCTTCCTCCTCCTCCTCTAAGGCTGGTGCTGGCTCTGTCACCGTCGGTGCTTCCTTCTTGACCGCATTTGCTGGTTTCATGTTGGCTCTTTTGTAAGTCTAACAGACAGAATACAAACTTTGGTCACAAGAGACATTCAATAACTTTTTTGCACGGTGTACACTACAAACACAGGAAGGAGGTATATATTTCCCCCCTTCTCATTCTTTCCTTCTATCATGTTCTTAAGCCTCATCATTGGTAAACCAGATTTATTTATGATTGAACGTTTTACAAATTTTTTTCTATTCCTACTTTAATATATTTTGTGATCTGACGATAAAAACTTTGTATAAACCTTTGGTTACCATTTCTCTCTTGAAAGTTGTTTATAAACCCTTACCATAATTACCACTCTCATAGAAGTCAAAGATGATTTTGACGATCTTCTCAAGGGCATCGAGCCATTCTTTCAATTGTGCAAGCACCTTGTCTTGATCCTCACCCAATCTTTCAAAGAAGTCCTTTCTGTAAGGGCATGCCTTCATGGCGAGCTTGAAGATTGGCTTAACGAGGAACGAATGATACTTAGACAAGGTCTTGCCGTAGGCATCCGTGAATGTCTTTGTGAGCTCTTTGTCTGGACTGTCCACAGTTTCTCTCATTGCCTGCGCAGTGAATTGCAACCCACGAGATAACCACAATAGACCTTGTGTGGCCTTTGTCTTGTTCTCAGCCTTCTCGTTTAACACCATATCTTGAAGAGTAGCTGATTTATCCGGTGTAGCGAGTAAACGCTCACGGATCTTATCAACGTTACCTTGAAGATCGTTTTGGACGACAGTGAACGCAGATGAACCGAGTAGGTCTATTTCATACGGAGGAACCGTCATCTGTTAGTACACCCTAACAGTTGGAACACGTAGCCAACAAAGGTAAACACTCACCAAATAACTTGATCAGAGCCTCAGACGCCTCCAAGAACTCCGATGTGGAGATCTTGCTATCGGTGATAGGAACTTCGCTGAAGGATCTCTTCTGTTGGTCAAAGAATGTGGACATATCTGGCAATTCGATATTTGTTTATGGCTCTATTGAACTAATTTTAGATGGAAGCAACAGCCAAAGGAAAGCGAAAAACAAAACACAAAGTTGAGCAGACGAAAATTCGGAAAAACATCAACAGACAAAAAAAAAAACTCGAAAATTAAGCCCTGTCTGTTGCTCGTACCGTGACAGGGTGGAGGGGGAAGAAGAACAGCGCGTTTCTACAGTAACACCACAGTAAATCAAACAATGTATTGATTAAGCCATAAAGTGTTTCATTTATGGGAGTCTACCTTCTCTTTTGAGTCTCATTCTCTCAGCGAAAGTAAGTGGTTTAGATGGCGCAGCACTGTTGGATACTGGTGCAGGTGACGGAACTGGAGATTCCCTAGCAGGTGGTGCCTCACGTCTCAATGAACCTGGTCTATAAGCACCTCCGGTTGGAGGTCTGTATGAGCCAGCGGAACGAGCAGCTTGACGCTCGAGTGCTTCTTGCTCAATTCTTCTCTGGTGAGCAGCCTTCTCGTCGAGTCTCTCACGTTCCTCACGCATCTTTTGGGCTCTTTCAGCTGCTTGAGCCTCTCTCTCAGCTCTGGCAGCCTCTTCAGCTTCTCTCTGCTTAGCAGCGTTGTACTCAGCAACAGCCGCCTCATAACGTTGTTGACGCACAGATTCAATACGGGCCTTCTTTGCAGCTTCAAGCTTTTCAGCGTACTCCTTGATCAAGGCCTCACGCTTAGTAGCAGCTTGGCCATCAAGTTCTTGTGTGTATTCCTCATAGTCTGGAACAAGTTTTTGTAATCTATCACGGATCTGAAGAGCCTCGTCGTGTTCCTTTTTGGCAACAGCAATCTTCTTGGTCTTGAACTCTTCATAGACTGCCAAGTCTACATCCTTTTGAGCAGAGGCATCCTTCTCCAAAAGTGGCAACTCAGCCTTTCTGTAAGCTCTTTCAGTGTGGTCGAGCTTCTTGAATAAGGACTTGACATAACTCTGCAAGTCGTTTTTATCCTTTGCAAGTTGTTTGACTTGCATATCACGAAGCTCATCCATGGTCACAGTGTCGATATCCTCAATATCCAACTTGATAGCACCTTGTGATTTGATCTTCTCGAGAAGCTTAACCTTGTTGTCTCTCTCAATGGCATCCTTTTCACGTTGGATCTTTTCCTCGAGACGACGCTTGGCTTCAGTTTCAACACGCTTAGCCTCAGCAATCTTATCGTCCTCAAGCTTTTGTGCTCTGGCTCTGGCAGCCTCCTGTTCACGTTCAATTCTCTCTTGTTCAGCTTGTTGCTTACGTTGTTCCAAGAGTTGACGAGCTCTCTCAATCTCCTCACGTTCTTTGAGCAATGCAGCCGTGGCAGATGCAACCAAACGTCCACGAAGAGTTCTCTGCTTCTCAGCATAAGTGGCATCGGTATATTTGACAGAAGCGTACAAGGTCTTTGCCAAGTTGGACAATTGGTTTTGAACCAAATCGGCTGGGGAGGTTTGCAATGCAGAACGTTGCTCAGCAATTTCCTGGAATGGATCAGAACGGAAAGTAATGACAGCTGAGTCATGGTCAATGTAGAAAGAGAGTTGACCGTTTCTACCAGCGTTGAGCAAGAAGCTCTCAATCTCCAATCCAGAGAGCTTGAAACTGCCTTCGAATGTGGCCAGTTGGAGCAGGAAGTCCAATTTAACAGATTCGTAAACTTGTGAAACTTGTTCAAACAAACGAGTCAAGATAACCTTGGTCAATGGTTTAACGTATGGGGCGAAAACAGGGTTGGACTCGATTGCGAGAGTGATGGACTTCAGCTCATCACGGATGGATAACGGATGGAAGTCAGCTTCCAAGAGTTGGTACAACTTCTTGACAGTTGGATCAACATAATCATAGATGGTCTTGTTCAATGCAGCATCGATCAAAGACTTTCTGGTTGGCAACTTCTGCAAGTTCAACAAGTTGGCCAAACGCTTGTTGGAGGAAGTTGCATACCCTTCGTTGAAGTCTGGGTTGTAAGAGTCTTGAGGAATGGATAGAGAAGACAACAAGAACACAGAGGCATAACGAGACAACTCCTCATCAGTAGCCATTGGTGATTGGGAGTACAAGTTGAAGTACTTGTTCCAAGCAGCAGCGTGCAAAAGTGCATTGTCAGAAACGAGGAAGATCTTGGCCAAGTTCTCATAGTAAGAAACCATCATAAGTGGTTTAACTGGACGTCTAGAAGTGTTGATCAAATTGTGAATGTCCTCGATGGATCTGTAAGCCTCTTGCCACAACTCCAAGCTGACAGAAACATTCAACTGATTGAAACGAAGATCCAAGTAACGTTGGACAGTCTCTGGATCTTGCAAATCAACAGCGTTAAGCTGCTTGTAGCCACCCTTTTGGGAGGCTGTTTGGATATGCGTACGGAGAAGTTCTGACAGCTTCTTGAACTCATACTTTCTGTTGTATTTCAAACAAAATTTGTAAGCTCTTTGGACGATGGCAGAATAAGTAACTTCAAGACGTGCATTGTTTCTCAAGAGCTCCAGCACTAAACGGTAGCTCTCCCAAAGGAAACGCAACCATGGGGTGACGAGCTCCCTATCAGCACGGTCTTTAGATTGTTCATCAGAGACAACTGACAACAAGAGATCCTCTGGGGACTCGGCTTCAAAATCATCCTCAATGTTATCTCTTTCATCTGCTTGGGCCTGGGCTGTTTCCAGCTTCTTTTCAGCAAGTTCAATCAACTTACGAGCAACGTTTTCAACAACTGGAAGACCGTTTTCAGCCATTTGAACGTTCTTCTTGAATTGATGCAAACCATCCTTCAAAGTGAAACCCTTTCTTAAGTCAACACTAAGCTCCACAAAGAGCAACGCAATTGGCTCAAGTGCTGCTGGTGCAACAGAACGAGTTCTCTTTGAGGTCAAGAATTCATGAAGGATCTGAAGAGCAGATTCGGACTTGCCGACAGCAATGAGTTCCTCAGCTCTCTATAAAACAATGTTAGCACGGGTATCAAAGAGACATTGAGCAGCAACAGTGCACAGTGTACAGGGGGCGAATCATTGGCGAACATACCTTAAGCACGTTATCTGGACGAATCACAGGTGGTGCCATGTCTAATTTCTTCTTAAGGAACCTGGGTTTTCCCTCTTTGAAGTCCTGGTTTAACGTCCTTTCGGTTCTGATGTTCAAAGAGATCAGCAGAAAGGGAAAAAAAAATTTCACCAAAAACGCCGGGCTGAGAATTACGCCTGGAAAATTCGAAATGTGCGTAAATGTGAGAATGGCAATCGTCTAATTCCGAATGAAGTGTCGGAAATATTCCGAGAAGGGTCTGTCGGAATGGATTGCTCATTGTTTGGTTGCTTGTAGCTGCAGATTTGATGTTGAAAGCACCAATAATACGAAGCCAATTCATCTTCAAGAAACAGTTTGCTATTTAGAGGTCAAGCTAATGGAGTAATGTCTTCTTTGTTGTACAAGTGGATCTTTCACAAGGTGGGTTCTTGTCATTCTTTGCGTGGGTGTGGTGGGGCCTATACTAATACATTTGCATAGACGGTTGGTGAAGTTAACGTGGGTTCAGAGGAAGACCCGTTTCATGAGACTGTATGTAGAAGACGTGTTGTTTTGCAATGATGTGTATGTACTAACGATGGTTCCAGATTCCACATGAAGAGCTGGGAAGGTTTCAGAGAGAAGGTGCGAAGAGAAAGAAACCCTTACCACCAGGTCTCTCAAAGAACGATGAAAAAGTTCTCAAATCTGTGAGGAGTAGGGCATATCAACTGGACTTGGTATTTCAATGCTGCTGTGGTTGTAGGTTGGGATGGGCAGGCATAATTGGACTGATTCCATGGATTGGGGACGTTATTGCCTTCTACCTGGCCATGCTCCTGATTCGCAAGGCAAGAACTATCGATGGTGGGTTACCCAAGTACTTGGAGGCTCAAATGATGGCCAACATCACGTTTGATTTCTGTATTGGCCTCATTCCAATTGTTGGTGACCTTATAAACATGGCGTATAAGGCAAACACAAGGAATTACATCCTCCTGGAGACGCATTTGAGGAAACATTGCTCAAATAACAAAACAAATGAACCCAAGCAGTCACTAAAGACATCAGCTAAAACCACTCAGGAAGCATCAAACGTAACGCCAAAGGCACCACCAAAGGCACCACCAAAGGCACCACCCAGAACACAGTCCCAAGGTCCTCGAGTACCACCCAGAGTATTATAATCCATAGACATTTCTCAGAGTCGATAGCCAGTAGATTATACTACATGGTAAACACCCTCTCAAATATGCAAAAAATGTATGCTCTATGTATTATATCATTAATCGATTAGAACCAAGTCTCCGTCAGATTCAGAATCTGATATAACTATGAATTCCTTCACGGACTCGAGGGGATTTGCCACGTTTGTATCCGTGACATTCCTGGAATAGCTCGAGACTTTATCCTTCACATAGGTTATTTCATCATTTATACTTTCAACTTCCAAAACAGAGGGTCTGATTAGACGACACTCATTGTTTGCTGAATCACTTGAATCTTGTGATTGGGACCATTCGAGTCTCAGAGCTTTACCAACATTACCAGACTGAGCCTTCTGCGATTTCAACTTCACCTTATTATAAGGAGTCTCCGTATTTTGCTCTTTAAATTTCACATTTATGCTCAGCTGCAACAGCTTTACACTGTCATCTTCTAAATCAGCCTCATCTGAGGAAGAATTGTCAGATGATGTAAACTCATCAAGAAAACTTGGTTGTTCATGTTGTCCATATGCAAGTACCCTTCTAGTAAATTTGCTTGTATGTGTCTTGCGACCAGACATTGTGATTGAAGGTTTCTTTATCTTAGCTCGAGGATAGGTAAGAGCTCTGAGATTTTGACGACTTGGTTTGCAGGTCATAGAAGTTTTCATCTTGATAACATCAGCAATGGATGGCCTGTCTTTTGAGCTATTCAGATTCAAACGCTTACACTTTGTACCAGAATTACTTATGATGCCAGGCCATGCCGAGTTGAAGATTAATTGATGACGACGACAACGTTCACAATAATTGACGAAAGGGAACTTTTCGGTACACCTGAAGTATATGCCACAGTTCAAACAATCATACGTTGTTTCAAGGAGTTCTTCCTGGTCCGTTTGATACAATTCTTTCATGTATAGTTTGTGAAGTGTTCTGTTCCGAGAACGCCTCTCCAACTCTCTTTGGTCAATTTTAGCCTGGAGTAACTTAGAATCCGTAGAACAATCCAACGGCAGCGAATCCAAGATGGATGTCATTGATCCACGCCGATGTATCTTTTGTCTATCACGAAGAATTTTCCCTGATATTTGATACCCTTTTAAATTTTTAAAGGTTTTATGATTCATTTCCAACCCACGCATCATCCGAGATGCTCTCTGTTGATGCACATGTATTCCTGAATTGGTCTCCTCTGTTTCAGAATCACTTGATATAAGTACAGATGATGAGCTGGGATCATCCGAATCCAATTCTATCACTTCAGTATCAGATTCCATATCTGAGCTTAGCACTTCTATGAGTTCTGCGAAGGCAGGGATTTGAAACCTCCCAGGATCATAGTATCCTTTCTGTTCAGCTTCACACGTTGCACATAGACAGTGCATGTTATCTTTGCCGAAGTAAGAGTTTGAATACGACACTGTGATCTCCTCCCCGACAAGTATTCTCTTCAAAGTAATAATCTTCATCTCACCTTGGGCCATCACAAACTTTGCATTTGGTGAACAGTTATGGTTGACAAACCGTATAGGTCCCAAGAGGAGACATGGATAGTCACATCGAGGTATGTTAATCACGCTGAAGTCACTAATTATGGGAGGCTCTTCTTCACCTGGAACAAGAGGCGACAATGAACCCGCAAGGTATTTAACCTCTTCGTTCTTATCAAAAACTCTTCTCGCAACGACACAGCATTCACTCGTCCCAGTCTTAACCTTAAAACGGTCTGTAACGGCAAGCTCAAACCCACAGCTCGCATGGTACATGCAGAGATATCTCTGGACATGGGAGCGGATACCACTGAGCACCTCTTCATCACCGTTGTACCTCCGTAAAAACGTCTGCATCGCTTTAGTATTCATTAGTGACTCTGTACATTTATCCAAGCACAACTTTTCCATCTTCACCACCTGCTTCTTCAGGATCTTCAAAAGCACCTCTCTGTCTATCATCAAACCTCTCTGGTAACCGTGGCTGATCTTTCTCGTCTCGATCCAAAAGTACATGTTGTCCACCAAGTTCCTTGTGAGGAAGTCGTCCGTCTCTGCAAAGGCCATCCACGATAGAGACGTGCTCAACCCTGGCGAGCCCATCTTCCTGACTTTCTGCTTCGAGCTTCTCGTTCTTGAGTTCATATTATTGCATTACAGACAGATCAGAGAGCCCTGGTGCTGGTTGTTGAACTGGTTGTTGACGCGTTTGTTTGTTTTCTTGCCAAAAAGGGCGCTGAAAATCGGACGCGTCGCACAAACACGCGTACGCGCACTCACATACAAAATAGAAGAGCTACAAAATGTTGAAATACGAGCAGTGCTGTCTTCATACACACACCAGGTCAATTGTTATATCAATGATACACGTCAACGGTGAAACCTTCTTCGAGCTCTGTATCACCGACAGTTTCACTCAGGTTTAGGTCTTCATCGTCAAATACAAGCCGTATCTTTGTAGTGGATGGAAGGCCAGACTTCGCCAGGTAGTGCTCAGCAATTCTGGAGAGCTCTGTATCTGGCTTCACTTTTACCTCCATTCTGGTCTTTTCATCACACTTTAGCACAATCTTGAAATAGGCGGAGTCCTGCTCGTTCTCAGCAGGACCCGGTTCAAGATGGACCATTCCCCCGTTAGTAGCACTCTCCATGTCGATCTCTTTATCAATGTCCCTGAACTCATCATCATCAGCATACGTTTCATACGCATCATCATTAATCTTTGCATGCGCAAACCTATCAAGTTCCTCCTCTCTTTCGAGCTGCCTGAGTCTCTTGTCCCTTTCACGTTGCTCGTTCTCAAGTATTGCACGGGCCTGAAGCTTTGTATAGAGGGAAAGATGTACATCTGTTATTCCGGATTCTGGCACCGGTAGTTTTAAAGAGTCGAGCTTCATATGCTCCTTCAGCTCTATCTTGTCCTTCATTAGCGTAACATTGACCGGGTCGTACAGATATATGAGAGATTCCGGAACTGCGTTGAAGGCTGCAAAGGAAGTCACGGATTTCGAGATTAGGGCAGCACAGTTCTTGTGACCTTTCACAGCCAAGGTTAGCTGGTAATGCTCACTCCCTGGGATGAAGGATTCCACGGTAACATTGTACTTCCTCTTCTCCATCGGCTCAACAGATATAGATCTCTCTATAGCGGAACCGGGTTCTCTTTGGGACAGCAGCTCAGAGGCTTTTTTTTCTGTCAAGCGAAGCCTTCGAGATATATCATCCTCGTCGTTATCATCAAGGATGTCGCCGTAGATATCATTACTCTGAGCATATAGCAACGCAGTTTGTTCCTTGATACGTTGTCTGATGGCATTTTCATCAAAATTCGGATCAAGCACAACTTTTGGTTTCTTAGCTGGTTTTGCCGTTTGGATCTCTTCCACAATCAGCACATCTTCATCACCTTTGTCATCGGTGGTGATTGAAGACTTCTTCGAAGAAGCAATCACAGGACTGGGACTCAGCGATGTCCTCTTTCTCAAGTCATCAGCGTCCGGAGTAGCAGACGTGACATCTTCTCTCTGTCTTTTCTTCTTCTTCTTCCTTTTCTTGGGCTTCTCCACGAACGATGGCCGTACACTTAGGTTAAAGAAGTCATCATCATCAATATCGATCGCGTAGGTCTCCACAGACGTTGTTTTTGCGCTGACATTGGAATCTACGGCTCCCATCGATGTACTCTCTGTTTTGACATTGGAATCTAGGGCCCCCATCTGTGAGGGCACCTCATCTGGCTGTGTTAACGCCAGTGTGTCTTGTCTCTCCAGCTGTGTCTGCACACCAGACTCTCCACCAGGTGTAATAGCACCAATGTTGGAACACGTCACATTTGTTGATACAGCACCAGTTGCAGAGTCCGCAGCGGTGATGGCAGCATCAACAGCCTCCGCAATCACGCTTCCGGCCCCTTCAGGAGGTGTCTGAGTCAGGTCAATAGCCTCTGACGAGCCATTCTCAGCAACTGTTGGCTCGACTGCTTCATTCATCAGCTCTATGCTTCACAGGCTGACTACCTCCAGTGATTCCAACTGTTGTTTGTTTGTTTGTTTGTTTGTTTGTTTGTTTTCAGCAGAGACCACACAGCACTGTAGAGGTCACGTGATATTAGGCATAGACGATGGTTGGTACGAATTCCCCCCAATAATCGTCAGAACCACCGCCAGTCCTTGAGCACAAGCCACGAGTACTCAGTGTCACGAAGGCTACTGTGTGCCTCTTCGTCACAGTCCATGGTTAACCACCCGTGGGGATCCCGACATCCATACATAACCCGTGGTGCTTAGCGTACTGTCACGTGTAATCACTGAGGAAAGATGCGCCACACCATGCGTAGCCAATGAACACCTCAGTTATATAAGGAATGGGTGCCAGTCTGCGTACACACACACGCACACGTTACTAATTGACAAGCCGAGTAAGCTATGACGGGTATTTCAACGAAATTGATCCATGGAGATGACTCCTTGAACAGAGTGCCAGATGTTGGTAAGTGAAGCAATGTTCCGTTTACTTGCTCCCCAGCTTTCAAGTACATATACTGACAGAGAACGAAGTTTCTCCAATTAACGTGACAACCACATTCAGATACGATTCCAATCCCGATAACTTGGCAGCCGTTGTGGACCTGCCTGGTGGTGTGTACCCGGATGATCAGCTGGTGTACTCGAGATTGGCGCATCCTAATGGTTTGAAGCTGGAGGAGATCTTCACAGAGATCCTGGGTGCTCCATCTGTTGTGTACTCTTCAGGTTTGGCTGCGTTCTATGGGCTCATCACTCATTTCAACCCCAAACAGGTTGCTATTGGACCTTGCTACCATGGTGTGAAGAAGATTGTGGACATCCATACTAGAAACTTTGGGTTGAAGCAGTTGTCATACTCAGAGGAGGATTTGGACAAGTTGCAGCCTGGTGATCTGATCCATATTGAGACCCCTGTAAACCCACAGGGAACGTCGAAGGACATCAGATACTTTGCTGAGAAAGCCCATGCCAAGGGTGCAATCTTGTCAGTGGATTCCACTTTTGCTCCAGTGCCTTTACAAGATCCATTCAAGTTTGGTGCCGATGTTGTCATGCATTCTGCCACCAAGTACTTTGGTGGTCACTCAGACCTGCTGGCTGGTGTTCTTGCTGTCAAGACTCAAGAGATCAAGACCCAATTGACTGTTGATAGAATCTATTTGGGTACTAACATTGCCAATTTGGAGGCTTTCCTGCTCTTGAGATCCTTGAGATCCTATGACCTGAGAATAAAGAAGCAGTCCGATAATGTTTTGAAAGTGGTGACTTTTTTGAATGAGAACAAGCACAAGTACAAGGTCCTTAAGGAGATTTATCACTCTTCGCTTCAGCAAGAACCTTTTGTGAAGGAACAGTTGCCAAATGGTTATGGTCCTGTGTTCGCTCTGACGTTGGATTCAAAGGAAACTGCAAAGTACTTCCCATCTCGTCTGAAATACTTCCATCACGCAACTTCGCTCGGTGGGCTGGAGTCATTGGTGGAGTGGAGGGCTATGACTGATCCATACGTCGAGCAAACTCTCATTAGGGTTTCTATCGGTGGTGAAGATGCCCAAGATTTAATCGATGATCTTGACCAGGCATTTTTATCATTTGAGAAGTAGGATGGTTTTTATTTTCGCTTTCTTTATTATAAAAATACATATATAGATCACCATTTCCATTCCTTTACGTAGTCACCAAGAGCAGTTTCAAAGGTTTCATACTCCAGTGCAACGTCAGCTTTCAGCCTTCTTGTGTTCTCACTCTCTAACAATGAGCTGTAACTCCAGTCCAAGAAGTCCTCCATGTTATAACTCTGCTTTCTGAAAGGTTGGCTAAAGATCTTAGCCAATGTTGCAACGTTAGGGTGATAATGTGAAGATAACGTTTCCAGCTCCCAGACGGAACTGTCAATTGCATTGGTTTTAAGTGGGTCCAATTCGGTGTCGTCATATGGGTCTTTATAATTCTCACCAGGGTTGGAATTTTGTAACAGTATCATACACGTTGGGTGTCTCTTTAACAAGTTGTAGACAAATGGAATAACAATGACAATAGCAGATGGTGATGCAGTTAAAGATAAACGTGCGAGCTTCTTGATGAAAGAAGCAACGAGAGCACCTGGTAAATGTGTTGAAGTCAAGAACAGATCGGTCAATCTTATGAATCTTGATCTGTACTTCACATGGAGCAAATCTGAATCCAACAGAGAGTACAACTTTGTATAGAACTTTGGATAATCCAAGTTGTAATTCTTAATGAGTTCGAAGAGTCCATTGAGTGCAAGAATCGAAATAACACCGCCTATTTCATAAGAGTCTGTGAGGAAGTCCATGAGATTTGTAGGTTTTTTGAAGAATGGGATAATTCTCTTGTGCAGAATGAGCAGCGTTGTCTTGTATTGGTCGTTGTTCAGCACTTCACTTAAGAAATAGAGCCATTTGGACTCAAATTCGGTCTTGTATTGGTGGATATTGTTGACGGCTGATGGTAGATTGCTCAAGAATGTACTTCCATCGTTTGTAATCACTGTACTAGGAACCTTCATTATTGTGAGGAACTTGGAAAAGACAACTTGTTGGTCATGATCTCTTAGCCCATCAACAGTCAATTCTGAGACAAAGTAGAACTGCAAATCGTAGTACTTTCCATAGTAGCTTGAAATAAACTCTTGGATGATAATACTTGAGGATGTTCCATCAGGTAAGACTTCACCATTGTTGGATTTCAAAAGACAAGATATGAGCTCTCTGTAAGATTTGTTTGGGAAGTATGGGTTAACTTCACCATCTTTAGTGGTGGAGGCAAAATGGACACTTTCAAATTTCAACAGCTTCATATAAATATCAAGGTTATCGATGACCAATGAGCAGTCGAATGGAATGTTCTCCATGAAGAACAAGATGTTAAACTTGTACAGCTCATAAGCCTGTCTAATCTTCTTGAATCCAGTTGCATCGGTCTTGGAAGGACTTAGTCTCTTCATATTGAACAAACTTTCAAATATTTTGAACAGTTGAAGGTTTAATAGCCTAGCAGATGCTTCGTATTTCGATAAACCATCTTCACTATCAAATTTTTGAAGAAACTGATCGAAAAGTGCAATGGCTTTAACCAAGGAGGACACATCGATAGACTCAACATTCTTCAACAGTTTTTTCATTGTTGAAGAGATGGACTCCTGAGAGAGTTCATCCACCGAGCTTCGAATCCTCTTTGGCGAGACCTTGGAATCTCTCTCTGCAGATCTTTTGACCATTGGATATAGTACCTTCTCCAATTTATGTCCACTATCTCAACGTGAAAGCTCACTGGTGTAGTGGAAATTTTTTTTTTCCTCTTCGCATCCTTCAGGCGCTCGAGAAGCTCATCGCGTGTGTTGTACTTACCGGAAATGAAGTGAAATGGAAGGGTTATATAGTCACTGTGAAGTGTGTTGTGTATGATAAAACCAGGTGCAGTGCATGGAAAGAGCTAGCATCATATCAAGCTATCGAAATACGTAGTTTTATACGTTGATTAGAACTTTTCCAAAACAAGATATTGGCCTCTGGGGACTATCAATACAACTGGTTAAACAGTATATTATTCAGAAAACAAATAGGGGCGTGTGGCGTAGTTGGTAGCGCGTTCGCTTAGCATGCGAAAGGTCTCCGGTTCGACTCCGGACTCGTCCATTGTTTTTCAATAGCTAAAAATGGACGATCGGCCCTGGGGACATAGGGGGGACTACGATGGGTGCATTAAAAACACCCCGTTTGATGTTTGTAGTGCATTCATTGGTTCAAAACAGTAATATTATGCCCACCTTGCCATAATTATTCCACGTGAGTGGACTTTTGTAACGGTGCGTACACATTAAATACTGGACTCTCTACAACTGAGTTGGAGACTGCGTTGAAGCTGAACATTCACGCCAGTTCATCGACTCAACATGGCCTCTACAAGCACTTCTCAACCCAATTGAGTGTCATTATAAGTGCCAAAGTGCTTCATCTCCACGGCTAATCAATGGTGACACGTACCCCGAAGGCTGGCGAAATTGCAGGCAACGTGCCTGAGATAATAACACCCTACAGTTGCAACATTGCAGAAGCCTCTTCTCCTTAGTGCCTTGAAGTTTGTGTCACCTTTAACTTAAGGTCTGTTTTGTAGCATTAGGTTATTAAGATATCCAATTGAGTCAGGTGATGATGTAAATCCATGTATGGCCTCATGTCACACCCTAATGCGATCATTAATCCGGTATGAAATGAACTGGAGCGTTTTGGATCCATAAACAGCGGAGAAGTTGGCCTGTTCCCACTAACACCGGGCTGCATTTGTACAGAAAACGCCAATCAAAGACCTCTAATCTAGTACATCATATACGACTTGGAGTGTAATTGAGCTGGTGCTTGAGGCCTCAAGCACCATTTATCGCTCAATAGAGACATTGACCATTAGGTGACATCGAGCCAAAACCTCCTGCCCTTTTCGCTCTATGTTATTTTGAACTGCGTTTGGTCTGCAGGGCTGCAGTAACATGGCACATATACAGGAAACGCCCAGCTTGGGAGTGATACACGATTGTTCCACAACCTCGTTGACTTGATTCACATCATGATCACGGTACAGGCTACATATGACGACATATAGCTTGACACCCAAGAGAAATTTCCACTCCTAAGGCAGACTTGTCGAGCGTTTAATGTACGATGATGAGTCAGGCGTGTAACGTTGCTCAATGAGGGTTCGAGTTATCCACTGTCTTTCACATTCATGTCCATGATCCGGTAATATCACACCCATTGCGGTTTGAGAACTCGAGCTGGGTGTCAAGCTCCTCAGTTTGTTCCTGGCAATCCGTGAAATCGTTGATATATACACAGTGATAAACCACTCGAGATATTTACGATATGTAGGCCGGGGTTAATTGAGTTTCAGCACCATGGCTTGCTTACCAGCTTCGCAGCAAGTGGAGCACACCGGGGAGGAAGTGTACTCCCTGTACTGCTGGATTACCCTGTGGTGCTCCTCAAGTCAGCTCCTAAGGTACAAGCCACTCCAATCCTCCAGACCTTCAAACCACCACGACAAGATATACACACGCATATTCCTCACATAGCTGAACTACGAGCCATGACACCCGAGAATGCCACTCATGAAGCCATTTCTCGGTAACATGCTCCTTTGTTTGCAAAGTATGGACTGTTCAACACTTCAAGGTTAAATGCTCCTCGGGGCATTGGTCGTCACCCTCGCTGGAGACCAATACCTCCACCACCCCAAACGGATTTCGGAATCCACACTTGACTCAAACCGAGTGACACTCATTTAACCTGTACGTCATTTGCTGGAAAAAAAAACGGACACTACACACACAGTGCTTCACTCAATGTAGAAAGTCCTGTCAAAGCACCAACAAGAAGCCCTCTCCACCATCCAATTCGTTCATCCACCGATGTTTCCAACACTTCTCGTCCCTAAAAGTGTGTTTAAACGGGATTTTGGGTGTGCACTGTATGTGGGTTTTTTTTCCTTCTGTCGTATGCAGTTGCACCAAGAAATTTCCACCTCAAGCGCACGCAGACAGAAAAAACACCCCCGATAACTCAGGCCATAATTGTACAGAGATGGGAGGACTTTATAGGGAGTACGAGTGCGCTTTTATCGGTTGAAAGATGCACGATGACCAAGGAATTTACATGTAGTTTATACCCTGTTCATATAAATAAGACTGTGGGACCCATGTTGTGGGCTTGGGCGTGAGGAGGAGATTACGCTGTCACTAGCTTTCCCATACTTTTCACAGGAACTTCTAACCACGACACAATGTTCTTAGCCCCATTGACTGCTCTTGCCATAGCTCAATACGTTGCTGCTGTTCCAGCACCAGTGCCTGCAGCCTTTGCACTTGCTGACACCAAGCACGGTTCTTCAGCCACAAGTTCCATGGGTCCAGTTACTTTCTTGTACCCAGAGGTTAGACAGTGGTCTGCTGATGCTGATAACATTGCGCCATGTGGATCCTTCGCCTCTGTCTCTGAGAACAGAACCGAGTTCCCACTGGATGATGGTTTCGTCGCTTTCATCGCAAAGTACATCTCTTACAACGTTAAGTTGTCCATCTCCTACAACTCCGACCCAACTACACAGGATGAGTTCGAGGAGTGGTACAACGGTAACGTTTCCTCCGAGTTGAACATTGGCCACACTTGTTTCTTCATGCCAGATCAACCACAGAGTATCAATGCTGGTGATGTTGCAACAATCCAAGCCATTTACCAGAACGATGACGAGGACCAAGTTGGTTCCGACGGCCAACCAGTCCAAACCAACTACAACGACACCTTCTACGTCTGTGCTGATGTCGTCTTTGTTGAATCTTCTGTCTTTGAGGTTTCTGACTACGCATTGTCTTGTTTCAACGCTACTGATAACAACTACTATTCCGAGTCCACCATCGAGACCGATGGTGTTGCTACTTATGACTCTTCTCAAGTCTCTGAGGTTGAGTCCGCTAGATCTTCTGCCGGTCTTTCTTCTACAACTGGTGAGGCTACCTCCACTTCTGCTTCTACCTCTTCAAGTGCCGGTGCTGCCATCGAGCTCTCTGCTCCAGTTACCGGTATTCTCGGTGCCTTGGCTTTGGTCGTTCCAGCTTTGATCTAAGCTTGATCTATCAAGGATGCTTGTATCTTTTGTTTATATATTAAAAAAAGTTCTTGGGGTATAATGTTTTTTGTCAGCTATTGAATTCCATAGCCCTGTGTATAATTTACGATTAAGAAAGAAACTAATTTAACGTAAGTTGTGAGACAGTAGTGTACTTGTCTATGGAAACCTTTCACTTTCCCATAAATGGCTGGATCTGATCGGGTCGCTAGTACTGTGAGTTTGGATGTTGTGCTTATTAATCAGTGCCATCAATCTCTGAGTAGTACCAGATTCTCGTGTAATACATGGAGAACATTGGACTCAGATAATCATACTTCTGTTTTCTTCATTTTATTCTCCTCTATCTGTTTAGATAATTGTAGACAAAGATACAGAGCTCCGAGTTCTGATTTTGTCAGACTTGATGTTTTGAAAGAGAGGGATGCTTATTGTATTGTGAGTGAGTATTTGAATAGCACAATAGACATACTTCTAGTACAACCATAGATGGCGAACTAACTCCAGTGGGTGCCCTACAAGTGCATCTGAACGTAAATATCCACGATGGCTGGGGATGACTCATACAGACAATATCGAAATCTCAAACACCAGCAGCATTTGTAAGAAAGGACTACATCTCTGAATCCAATCTTCTGTAACAATCTGTAGTAGTGCCAACCAGACTGGTGTGTAGTTAGGCAATATCTAATGGCTGTTGGAGAGAATTCCTCCAGACATCAGCTACTAGGCCCACCTCGTATGGTTAGCTGAGCTCGTAACGATGATGTCGTAGCATTGTGCCAGTATTGGAGCATAGCACAACAGAATTTCCTCTGGAATAAAGGGTGTGTGAAGCATTAAAAGGGGAACCAGTGTTGTGTATCTATTCTTGGGCAAGATATGTTGATCTGAGAGTGTTAATATACACAATAATCTTGGCCAAACTTGTTTTGTAGTACCATTATTCAATAGCCTTCCTGTATTCCCAGTAGTGTTGCTATAATAGGCAGTGTACTCCAAGATATGTCAAGCTGATAACTTCATAGGAGGTGATCAGAGGTCAACAAGGCCCTCATACTTTGTTTTCATCTTACCCTGCAGATTCATGGGAAGGAGTAGGTTGTGTTGAAGAACAGATAGGAATGATTCGGAGCTACATAAATATTAAAAGCAGGAACTTTGCAGACTTTACTTCCAGCATGTATCTTCTTGATAGTAATAGAGCAGCTGTGGGTGACACATCAGACATCATGGAGCTCGTCTATTTGGTTACTGGAAGATTATCACGTATTAGCCAGCATCATGCTATCATCTTACAACTCTTCTGCTGTGTTCTTGACAAACCATGTCATTATGTACAGAGGGAAACACTGCAACTACCACGAACTAAAGCCATATGCTGTATTTACTTCGTGATTAGCAGACGAATTGGCTCTTTGCATAGTGGCCACTTCCGTTGTGTGGTCCTCAATGTGTACGCCGTTATAGGAACATCGTTGTATAGTATGCGTACCCAATGTTGATTACGCCCTACAGCACTGACTGCCGACATTACTACGCTTATTCCCTGAATCCAACCATCAGTTTGCTACAAGAAGTGATTATGAACCTTGCCACAGCGAACTACCTCCACAGACACCTCAATTGAACCTTGTAACCGCACAATAAGTACATTTCTCTCTATAACCAACACTACAAACTGTTAACCATCTGTATATACAGCTGACTAAGAAAACACACACTGCTTACGTAAAACTCACATCAAATCAAAATGCCGCGAAAAGCCAAACTGGAAGAAAATCTTTTTTTTTTGTTTAGAGGGGGGGGGTCGGTGGTGATTGATTTTCCGAGAATTGGACAGTTTATAGAAATCAGTTTGAACATTTCTCACCAGTTCAAGCCAGGTTCATCAACTCCGATCTTTTCACTTTCTTTACATATTCAACGATGGGTTCCACTGCATCCAAACCAACTGAAACCAAAGTGTTCACCCCGAAGGCCAACGTTGAACTGGGCTCTTCGTTAATCAACGAGCTCGAGAAATCACCAGAGGTGAGTATACAGAGGTTGCACCATTTGTGAAGGAAATGAAGGCTTTTTGCTTACTAACGACTATGAAAGACCGATTACACACGCTCACAATATACGGAGAAGACGTTCCAGGCGGAGCTTGGGAAGAAGCTCGATCAATTGACGAAGGAGTCGCAGGAGAAGTTCGACAAGGAGTTGAAGTCTGCAGTGTTGACAAAGGACACCGACAAGGATAAATCGCTCTCCAGCAAAGATATCGCTACGAGACTGGAAAAGTTCCAAGAGTCGTTATCCAAGAGACAATCTAAGATCTTTAAAGTCACCGATGAGGTTGCAAAAGCCAAAGATGACGTTGCCCAATGCCTTCTAACCAATAAGAAACAGCCGTTGAACTGCTGGGATGAGGTTGCCAAGTTTGAACAGTTGGTTGCTCAGATAAATTAAACGCACTTCCATCAAGTAGATTATACAAGAGAATCAAAACAAGAATAAACTATGGATACGAATTTACTCAAGACCAAAGCCTTTGTAAATCAAGATCAATGCACTATCGCTTTCACCACCTCCGGCCAAGGATTCAATCTTTTCCTTATCCACGATACTAACTTTATCATCGTTGAATCTCCACCATCTGTTATCGTTGTACTTGTCCTTAACAAACGCTTGGTAATGACCAGAGTCTGCGGAGGTACCCTGATGTGTAATGACAGCGTTCAGGTTGTACAACGAAGATGGATTTTCACCATTTTGCAACTCCTTTGGAAATTTCTCCTTAAACTGTTCAACAAACTTCTTGTATTGCTTTTCATCGAATTCATCCTCGTCTTTTGGTAGGATGTTCTTCTTCTGCTTCTTAAACTCGCGCTCCTCCGTCAACTGTTGCTTCTCAACGTTTCTCAATTCGTCTCTAATTTTAATCTTCTCCTCACGGTACCCATCGTCCAACACATCAGCCAAGTCTAATTGGAATGGGAATTGGACTTTTCTCAAGATCTTGGATTTTCTATTTGTAGATCTCTTCCAAAAGAATCTCACGAATTGAACCGTCAGCACAGATGGCAATTTGGTAATCTTCTTGTTAACCTCATACACACATTCCTTGTCCAGCTTGGCGCTGCGCTTTTCCACCGTGTCGTTCAAGGATTCGATGAGTCCATTCTTCAAGAAGTTAGTACTGCCATTGATATGACACTGTAGCTTCAAATCCTGTTCAACTTTTTCATCAACGTCCGATTCATCCTCGGTGTTCTTCGTCAAGGACTTGAAACGGATGACAAAGTTTTCTATGAAATCGTCACCTATAACTTTTTCCAAAGAACGAAGCAACAGCGTAAATGCCTCCTCTGCATCCTGTTGCTTGTACATGCCCATCTGATCACGCTCGTTGAACATTGGTGAGTTAACTCTTAAACTGGTCACCAATTCACGAGGAACGACATAGTCCTTCTTCTTCTCGTCCAGCTGTTGGAATACCCTCTTCAACTGCAGAACCAAATGCTCCTCAGACCCAATCTCTCCAACTTTCTCATTCGTGTCCAATGCTTTGGCCACAGTTGGAATGCTGTGGAGTGCTTGAATGGAGGAATTGAGATAACACGTATTACCCAAGTTCTGTAGCCCAACAGGGTCGTTTGAGTAGTTCACATCGGAGTCCTTCAAATCCTCCAGGAAAACAGTCTTAACAGCAACCGGCAAGTTCAACTCAGGAGAACCAATGACCATAACAACCTGTCCTTCTTTCAACCCCAGCGACGACACCAGCACATCGTCTTTCAACTGGCCAGTCTTCAACAACACCTTTTGTCTCTCTATTGGAATTCGTGTGGCCTCCAGAATCTTCTGCTTAAACACCAGCCCAGTATCATCCAGTGACAATTCCAAAGGATATGTCTTACCTGAGTTCTTGATGCTAATCTTCACCATCTCTTTCCACTGCGTTTGCCAGTTTTGTTTACCAAAGCGTTAACAAGAGTGCTTACAACCTTTTGCCACTTGAAATCAAATCAAAACAATGGTCGGAATTCGATACCGCGTAACCTCGGAAAAGTGGTCCAAGAATGGCAGAAACTACGGGCAAAAGTGCTATGGGGGGAAATTGTACCATCAACCGTTGTCATAACAACCAATGATGTATATACTGTATTGTTACTACGAATATACAATGGGAGCATCAACGGTTTGTTGTTCACTGAAAGATAGTGGGATGTAGGAGAGATTTGAAAGATGTCGTGAGCTAGTCCATCAAATAGGTCTGTATGTGATCCAGAGCTCTTGAAACGTTTGGAGAGACTGGCTCGAACGCCCTTAGACACTCGATATAGGTGCGGTACACACTTTCCAACTGCTCACTGGATACTTGGTCGTCGATGTAATGCTCCTCCTTGGTGAGTTTTATCATCAGTTGATACACAATTGCAGGGTGTGTGAATCCCATGGTGGTGGTTGCGTACCAGAAACAGTTTGTGAAGTGTTCGTTTGTCAACCTCTTCATAAAGTTCTCGTTGAACTCAACGAGTAGTGAGCACGTCTGTTTGAACTGAACCTTGAACATATGCAGTTGGTCGTCTGTTAAGATGTGCTCACTGTCCAGGAATGAGTCAATTATCCTTCTATGGATTAGAAACTGTAACAGGTAATACGATAGAACCAACGATACAGATGAGATCTGACTACCGACAATCTGAACCTCCTTAACCTGAGACGGCATCGAGTTATACCATAACGTTAATGATTTCAAGAGACCCTGACATTTTTCGTAAACCGTTGTCAGATCGTCAAATTTTATAGATTTCCAATTGTAAATCGCCGTTAAAGCATCGTTATAGTGATACGACAGGTGAACCATCTTGGTGAAGATTAGATTTCCAAAGAGTGATAATTCCGCCTTGTAAGGAGTCATTGAGGTCGTTCCACGGTTGATAACAAAGTTCTCACCATCAGTCTTTTCGATAAAAACCTCCTCATCTTGTTCCACGAGGAAATCGTCAAATTCCAACTCGTTTAGAACCCAGTTATCAGCAGAGATCCGTGTTGGCCTCGATTCTAACAGTGCAAATGTCTTATCCAGCATGATTAGAGCCCAAGAACAGATCTTCCTGATACGCCTTTCCCACTTAGGAATGGTATACCATTCGTCACTACTGTGATTCAAGCCCAATTCCTCGGCTATAGTCACTATCTGGTTGACTTTTTTCCAGTTATCATCCTTCTCAAACAGTGGAGTGCTATTGGAGTTCAAGCCTTTGAAGTTGTAATGCATCATCAAGATCAACGCCTGGCACGTGGAAAGTTTAGGAGCAGAATGCATAAGATTTTGTTGGTCAGAGTATAGGATCAACACCAATCTCTCCAACTTTTCATAGTTTGGAAGTTCCAAATTGCTTAAATCAGGGTTCAGGTTCCAATAGTTGATAGCGTGGAGGTATACCATTGCCAAGTTCATTGGTTCAAACTCCCTCTGAGTTCTAGAGTATTTTTCAAGAAACACGGACCTCGAGCATACAGGTAACAAGGGATGGACCCTGTCAAAGAACAAATTGAGCAATGCCAATCCATGTGGATAGACAATCTTTTCAACTTCATCAACTTGAGCGTACGACAGCTTGATGTATTCTTCATTGTCATTGACGATCCGAAAGATGGTTTCGTCATTAATCTTCCTCAATTTGGAGGCCATTGAGTACTGTATCTGCTCCTTCTTCAGTACAAACGTTGGAGAATGACCTTCAGGCGGTGAGGGCATCGTCTCAGTATTGAAATTGATCAATCGCTTGTCGATAAGAGACGACTCACCAATCAGTTTGGCAGATTTCGGACCTTGTAAGGATAAGGTCTTTTTCAACATCGTGTGGCCTTGGTATTCATCATAATCTGTTATTGGAATATTCGTTCTTATCTTTGCGTTGGAATTCACCATCTCGCTAAACTTGCAGGGAAGGTCCCTTAGAGTGCACTCCGTGCACATGGAACAACCCTTGGGCACAACACATGTAGTTCTTCTGTGGTTACAATTATCACATATTCTCAAGCTCTTTATACTGGATAATTCATCGCCTGGTGTGTCAAAGGTACAATCGATGTTTCTCTTTGCACACTCCAGACATATCTTGGAGTTCGGTGGTACAACACATTTGGTCTTTCTCCTACGACAACACGTACAAGGCCTGGTCCTTGTAGTTTTCTTCTGTCTTTTCGAGCGGGACCCTGGCGGGTTCGTTGTGATGCCATTCTGGAGCGACGAGTTGAATGTATACCCAAAATTTGTCTCGTCAAACTTGGTCATACCAAAGGGAGAGTTTGAGTCAAACTGATGATCGAGAGAACTCGTCGGTGAATCAGTGGTGCTCTCTGCAAACCTCGAAAAGTCTTCAGACAAGGGCACACTGAGAGGCGTGTTGCTATTCATTCTTCTTCTTCCTCTTATGCCTTCAATACAACCAAAACAGAGCAATCACAGTATGAAAACTAATCAATAAGGGTTTACCGTTTAAAAAAGTATTGTGGGCTTATCGATTGTTTTTCCCAGGAACGGAAATTTTCTTAGGGCCGGAAACCATACTGCCCGTAACGAAACGGCCGTTGCCCGGAGACGCAAAGGTTTGATGAGTAACCGTAGCGATAGCCAACTTCATCAATAGCTATCATACACACTCAAAGCAATGGAATACCCCAAGGTTGTGGTGTTTGATCTTGACTACACTCTATGGCCGTGCTGGTGCGACACCCACATATCACCCCCGTTGAGGTCCAAGTCTACAGATGTAGTTGTCGATAAGTATGGGTATGAGCTCTCCTTCTACAAGGACGTTGGTGATATCTTCCAAGACCTACAGGCCAATGGAGTTCTGATAGTGAGTGCGAGTAGAACGTGTGCCCCTGCTGTGGCGAAGAAGCTGCTCAAGCTGCTCCACCTCAACGGCGAGCCAGCGATAAACCACCTGGATCATATGGAATGGGGTACACATTCGAAGAAGAAGCATATCGCCAGGGCATTGGAACAGTTTGAAGAGGATATCAAGTTTGAAGACGTTATTCTGTTTGACGATGAGGTGAGAAATAAGGACGTTGAGTCGATAGGATGCCTGTTTGCTCACATATCGAATGAAAAGGTTGGTTTAAATAAGATCATTTATGAACGGGCTCTGGGCGAATGGAGGAAGAAGAACAAGAAGAGAACAAAGAAATCAAACTAGAAGTTTACATCTACAGTTTCATATAGATTAGTTATAGATACATTGTATTGATGCTATTATGGCTTCGTATATCCACTACAGTCATGTGACTGATATCAGTGACGATTTCATCCGGAGTCATTGAACGGTTGTGGTTCACAATAATATGAGCCTTCTGGTGGTATATTAGCCCATCATGGGGGTTTCATGGTACATTACTGTGTACATGTATCTAATTTTAGTGTTGGTCTTTTGAGTGTCTTATTGTAATTCATTCGGGAAGCATTGAAGTTGAGAATTCCAGACTATTGAAGTGTAGTGCTGGCGGACATCTTACATCAACATCAATGTATCATTGCCTGAAATCTTTAGATGATAAAACAATGCTGCCAAGTAGCATGTATGTCTGTCCTTGTTATTTGATACTGTAATGAGACTCAATAGACTTCTAAGGTCAAAATCTGGGTGCTCTCAAACATGTTTTAGTGCTGTATGGTGAGCATATTTGACAGTCAAACCTTTCTGAATAGTGCTGCCATGTTTATAATCATTGAAATGAGGATACGATGTCATCCATGTGTACCTATTCCACAGACTCGTGTGTGTGAAGCTGGACACATTCCCATTGATTAGCAACAATTTCTGGGACTGCTTATCCAGATTGCTTGCAATTCCATCTCTAGCCTTTGCAATAATCACAAATTTCTATGGGAAGAAGACTCATATTGATTGCCTTGGTGGACCCTAGTTCGTTAATTCCTTTGTGTGTCTGGTATATCATTGGCTCTGACATATTTGCTGGATCTTTTAGTCATCAAAATGATATATGTTGGTAGATTCAGACTTGGTGTTGATGTTCGTACTGAGAGTGAATGCGCTGGTATTTACATCTCTGAATGTTTTCCAACAAGGGGATTGGTAACCTCATAGCGATGGACTAGTTGAGTATTTCCCTTGGAGAAGTTCTAGGTTATGTTGTTTCAGTCATATTCTATAAAGTCCATGGTGGTTGGAGATTCATGATTGGGTCATGCCTCGTGTTTCCTCCGATACTCTTTTGCTGATTATTCTTCATGCCAGAATCGCCAATGTACTTAGTACTCAATGATATATTTGGGGAAGCATATACAGTATGGACCCATCTTCGTCATATCAATGACGTCGATTCCCAACTGGAATTCATAGAAGTTGTAAATGCTGATTCACTAGAAAATAATTATCGTCCAACAAAGTCACATTTCCAAGCAGCAATCGAGCTCTTCAACGCTCCAAGAAACTATGGTGTATTGGCCTGTGCAATGGTGATGATTCTGTTTGGCCAGATGTGTGGTGTCAATGGCATCTTGTACTACATTTCTGATCTGATGGAGGGGCCCTCATGATCGGTGTCATTCCCGCAATTTTGTACATGGAGGAATTTGAAGAAGATCTTGAGAAATTAATCTTGTTGAGTGTATCACTGACCTTCTATTTGTTGGGACTGGTTATCGAATTGGCCCTCAAATCAACTTGACTGTCGCAGAAGGTGCTTATCTCACTGGTATCACTATTTACATGTTATTCATCGGTTCATATGCTGTTTTGACTAGTGTGACTCCATCCGGGTCGTCAGAGTTGAGAACACGGCCCCTTGGGAGACCATTCTGATCAAATATGCCCCTTTTATGGTCGTTAATCATGACATAAAACATCACTCTCATGAACGGAGCATTTACTTATACCGGGTTAGCACATGGATTCCACAGTGCAATTGTATTTGTTGAATTGATATATCATGTTATATCCATGCCAGGACCAAGGACAAGACAATGAAGCAGATCAACAAAATCTTCTGAAGATCAACTTGGAGCATTGCAAAGGAAAATTGGAACAGGTGCAAACCAGGCAAAGTGTGATGAGAAAGACATAGAAAATGCAACGTGTGTATAAACCCGGACACCAACACCGTTTATACTTTGTTTGTTTACATTTCGATACTTTTCTTTACTCCTCCACTATTACTCATACTGGGTAAGCGGTAGGAAGGAGAACATGCCCATTGAAGATAGATCTTCTCTATTCTCGTACTCACAGTGTCGACCTGTTGTGTCGCCGTGCTCGAACTACGTCGTGTTCATACATGGCTCCAAGCTTGTTATACGATCAACAAAATCGCTTGAGCGTATAAGGACGATTGACCTATCAGAGGAGTTTATCAAGGTCGTACAGGTTACATGGGAGCATAAGTATCATGGAAAGAGTACAAAAGTGGGTGTTTTAGTATCCAATCAAAACAAAGTGCTGATCTTTGACGTTGAGGATGAGTCTGTGAGCGTTTCTGTTGAAGAAGATGATGTATTTGGTATTGATAGGTTTGAGTGGTTACCACCTGGCAGTATTCCTGAGGAAACTGCATACACAGGTTGTAAACAAATTGCAATATACTCGAAATGTTCATTGCTGATGAAAGTGCTATCTCTTGATCAGAAGGGTGGGAAATTCCACGTTGAGGTAGAAAAACCGCTGTCAGGCATTGTAAACAGAGATGATGGGAGTCATGTGTGGTTTATTGCATCGAGTATCCATGGGAAACCTCATTTACAGCAGTTCTTCAACGAAGGATCGTATAGTCGCAGAATTATTGTATCGGAACTACCGACTGGAGTAATGTTAGACAATGTTCTGCTCTCGCCTTCTTCTAAGTGGATTTTAAGCATGGGGAACTCGCTATCTGGGGTCAAATTCCAGTTATTTCTAACAGCTGGTGACTTCCTATCCACTGGAAAACCACTTTTATCATATGTGTCCGATGCTGATCCATTTGGAGCGACATGTGTTGTCTTTATCGATGACGAAACAGTGTGTTTTGGTGATCATCTGGAACAAGTTCACATATTATCTGTACCTTATGGATTTGATGAGGTCGAAACGCTGGTTTATCAACCTATTGTCGAAAACACTACTGTTTTTAGACAGTCTAGTGATGGATGCAAATATGCATCAAGGCCCTCACCTTTCAGTATACCCTATTTACCAGATCTACCCATGGAGAGAAAGGGAATTAAACTACTAAGATGCATCGGGGGACAGTACATATGGACCATCACGGAGACCATTCCAACTACCTTGTTTCTCTGGTCAAGGTCCTCAGAAACAAGGCATCCACTTGGTATCATGGTAACAAATACAAAGATCGTGGAAGTTTTCACGCCTAATAGTGTTGAGCCCTTAGCTATTGTTGTATCTGAGGATAGCATAAGTATATGGAAATCACAGATTGAGCCTCTCAGTTTCCCAATAACCCTATCATCGGACTTGGTGCTAAAAGGTGCAGAGATTATTGTCATGGATTCCAATTACGTTCAGCTTTCTCTGTGGACATCATCGAAACATTTTTTCACTGTTGATGTTCGATTTGCAGGTGTTAAGCAGAACATAGGAGAACATATGGAACAAGACGAATCTCTAATGAGACGTGGAAGTCCGGCGTACGTTGATGATTCAACCAGGGTCGTTGAGCTTGCCAAAGCTGTTCAGCAGAATGAATGGGCCCAAACAACTGGTTTGCAGGTGGATGATACGTTCCAAGGACGTGCCCAACGGTTGAGATAGAACTACCACCAATTACAGAAAGTTGTTGGAATATATGTGTCTGTAGTATATGTAAAGTTTTATACATTGTCATGAATGATCAAGTGGTTCGTTAAAAAAGGAAGTGCGTACTCATCAATGTGGACCATTGTCTTCAAGGTATATGCCTCTTTCAGCTGCCTCGTCTAACAGCTTGGCCCGTCTAGCCTCATCTTCAAGCATCGTTCTATTTTCGAAATCAAGAAGTTGTTGCTCAGCCCACCAGACTGCACCACCAGCGATCCAACTCACGTGGTAGAACACCTTAACCTGCGATCTAGCTGTACGATACGTTGGTGAGATGATTCTCAACAGAAGTGCACTGGTGATACCCAACATGGCTCCCTTAGCAGCACCAATGGCGCCTGCAATAAGCAGCTCAGACCATAGCTGTTCGATCTTGTGAGGCTGGTGGTGATTGAGCTTAACAGTACCGGCCATTTTCTATCGACAAACAGCTTCTGATCAACACCGACGGTTTCCTTCTGTTTGAAGAAGGGGAAGATCTGAAGATTATTCGTTTCCATTTTGGTATAATTCCCAAAGCCCGTGCATAGCAGTGTTAACCCGATCGGTTGCGGTGGTTACTGGTGTTTACATTAAAAAAAGAATCAATAGGGCACAGACATTTATTTGAAGACGGTGTCCTCCTGGAGATGTTCTCAGTGGTTTGTATACACGCTTGGAGGTTAAGCTCACGGATCCAAATGGGTCAATTGTCCTTTGGTCGTTTGCAAGTGCTAAGAATTGCGGAAATTAATTCCAGGTCTCGCCCAAAGAAGTAATTCACGCCTGTTTTTCGTCAATTCACGAAAAATACAGACAGTTGCAGTTTCTCACATCCGAAAGGGGAAGTTGCGCAAAAATGCTTCAAACATCAAAACACCAAAAGCCAACACCAATTTGAACAGCACAGGCATTCCATAGCAGAAACAAAAATAAGAGACCAATTCAACAGTGAAGGGCCAATAGGATGAACTTCAAGACCGCAAACATACAGTACGTACGAACTGGAAAGACTTTCGGTGTTACAGCGAACTAACAATTCAACCAGTTCGACCCAGGACATGCGTAATGCTGTCGATGAACGCCTACCCTTGGTGTTGTCAACATTGGGGTACCAAGAGTCGTTTATCCTGGTTGATACGAAGCTCGCGTTGGGGTATCTTAGTGTGCTAGCAGCTGGTGGTGCGTTCCTATTGGAGAAGAAGTTGAAATTTGAAGAAGGGTTGCCATATTTGAAGCTACTGCTTCTTGCCTATTTCATCCTAACTTCGCTTTCCTGGTTATATCAAAAGTTTGTTATCAAGAACACCATATACACGGGTAAGAAGGGGAAGAACGTCGTCACCATTGGTGGAGAAGTGGATAAATATACACCTGAATACAAACTAACCATCACTGTGAAGAGCGAAGGTCGTGATGCTGGATCAACACAAGAGGTGGTTTTGCCATTCACTTCTGTATTTGACAAGTATGGTAATCTACACGAGGGTGAGCTGGCCGCTTGGATTAAAGATCAATTGGAGTTAAACGAAAAGAATAAATGATTGGAACCTCTGGTTGGAGGGAAGATAGTTCATTCAGTATCACGTAGTCTACTTAGTGTCTTCTTCTACCTTTCTTCTGCACTAGTTCAAAACCATCGTCATCCACTATAGGCCCCTGTGGTTCCTGAGGAGCGTCGATATCCATTTGTTCTGCCACGAGTTCCACTTCGTCGTCTTCCTCGTCATCGTCGTCGTCATCGTTATCACTTACACCTGGGTTCTCAGGGTCTTCTTGGATTTGTACTTGGTACTGTTCCTTCTGCGTACCTTTCTGCTTCCACTGCTCATACATAGAGCGTACAGTGGAGTAATCACCAGATGCTACTTGTCTATATATGCCGATGACCTTTGCAGCTATAGGTAAAGAAGACTCATCTTCAACATTAACGTCGAATTCGTCAAGCATGGCATTCAATATTGTCTCCTCGATGAGTTCGATATCAACAACTGGACCTTTGAAGAGATCAACAACGATATCACTGATCCAGTCTCTCTTATCGCTTGATTTTGGCCCACCCCATCCGTTAACAACGGCAATGTTGAGAATCTCCCATGAGTGTATCACCATTGAAACTCCCAGCTCAAAGTTTGCCTGTTGTTTCTCATCCGAGAATCCCAAAGTCTGTCCTTCTGGTGCTTCAACAAAGTCTGAAACGTCAATTTGAATATCACTGGATACCATTTGTAAAGATTAATACAGCTTAATAGTTAATTATGTCTTGCTCTCGTATGAACTCGAGAATTTTTTTTTTGAGTTGTTTTGATGCATCTTGAGCTCATCGCTTCGGGCCACGAGAACTCGAAACACCGAAACACACCCTCATCAAGTGAACAACCTGTGGTATTAAGGAAGCTAGAAGTAGTGGAAAATGATCAGTATTGACGATGTTGCTACGCTCATTACACAGCCATCTGTCATTGTTGTACTGTTATTAGTGGTCTTGTATGTACTTGCTGTCTGTCCTTCGCTGTTGTTACTGTCCACTTCGACTAACATAGGGACATAATTAAACAGGTACTTAACACCTGCGATTGTTGCATGTGTATGTGTTGTTTCTGTCCTTCTATTCAGGATACTATGGAATTTGAACGGAATCTACAAGAGACATGGCGTATGGGAACCTCTAGGCAAGGATGATGTTGCATTAATCACAGGTGGAGCCAATGGATTAGGGTTAGAACTGTCGCTTCAATTGGCTCAGAGAGGTGTCAAGGTGATTGTCATTGATAAAGCTGCGGAGGTTCCAAACACACTTGAGGGTCATATTGTGTATGAACGATGTGACTTATCAAACAGTGAGAGCTTGCTATCACTGATCAAGAAAGTCATCGCAACTCATGGGTATCCAACCGTGTTGGTGAATAACGCTGCAGTGCGTGATGGTGGGTCCCTCCAAGAGTTGACGTCTTCACAGGCTGAGAATATTGTGAGTGTGAATACGCTCGCACCTCTTCTTCTCATGAGAGAGTGTCTCAAGACTTCAAGGAGAATATACACCATAAATGTTGCCTCTGTACTGGGGTTTGTTTCGCCCGCCAATCTCAGTATGTATTCCTGTACAAAGGCAGCATTGATATCGTTGCACGATTCCATATCACATGAGTACTCGTCCGACGTATCAAAGAGGTTTCTACTCGTTGCACCGGGACAGTTGAATACCGCAATGTTTCAGAACGTGACACCACCAAGGCAATGGCTTGCACCTGTTCTCGATGCACGGGCTTTAGCAACAACAATAGTTCAAAAGTGTAACCAAGGTGAAAGAGGTACTGTTCATGGGCCGGTGTACACCTATTTCATCCCCATTTTGAGACTATTGCCATACTCATTAGCAGAGCTGTGTCGCTGGTTCAGTGAAATGGACACCAGTGTTAAGAAGGGGGAATCCGATGCCTAACGTGTAAACACAGTATTATGTTTTCAATAGTGCGCAGCCCGTGGTATATACTTCGGACCAATCACAGACGATATGGGCTCATAACCGTAGAAGCTCATCGCGAATTCGCCCGTGTTGTATGACACATCCAAAGAAACAACAACTCACCAGCTCTTTAACCGTGTTTAAAAGGGGCTGGAACATACATTTCAGGGAGGTGAACTCTTTGCATCTCTACTGGTTGCACCGTTGCTTTCTTCAGTTGGTTTAGCATTGCTCAACAAAGGGACTGGTGGACAAGGATTCATTTTGCTTAAAAAGGGATTGATCGTATAGCACCGGTGTTAACAACTATTGGGAACAGAACTGCTGTAAAGGACTATCATGGCTTCCTATAAATCCAAAATGGATACCGCTGCTCCTTCTTTCACGCCTTCAAAGAGCACCTGTAATAAGAGCAACAAGGAGATGGTTCCTTCGAAGCAAAACCCATCTCGTCGCACTCAAAAGCCCAGATACCCTCAGCAACAACCAAGAGGGCGCCAAAGTGACTACAACGACGAATTTGATCTAAACCTCGAAGAACAAGTACTCTCTGGTAATGTGAAAGTGCGTGGTAAACGTGCACAGATCTCCATCAGCCATCTGTTAGACTTCTCCCTACCAGAGAGGGACCTGGAAACGCTATCGAAACCGCAGAGAAGGAGAAGGAAATTTAGCAACAATGGCGATGAGAGGATACATCTCAGTGGCCAAGAGTTTATCAACGCCAATTATAAGTTCATTGTGGATGCCAGAGGTGATTACAGAAGTCAGATTGTTGATCCAAATTGCATACTGGATGAGAGTTCTATTCTCAGGGTTATAGTTCCAAGGGGATACCAATGCCCAATATGTCTAAGCGAGGATATTGTTGCTCCAAGAATGATTTCGTGTGGTCACATCTTCTGTGCCACATGTCTCTTGAGATTCCTGGCCTCTGAACAAATTGTCAAGAAGGGTTGTCGCCCAAGGAAGCTGAAGGACTGTCCTCTTTGTTCATTGCCCGTAAGACCAGATGAGACCAAGTTGGTGTTGATAGACCCAACGCTTAATGTTGATATCCCACAGATAAACCATAGTTGTGAACTGAAGCTCATGGCAAGACCAATACACCGGATATTACCTGTTCCATATGAAATTGATGTCAACAGGGATAGATTGGGAAATGTGCCCTGGTACTGTGATGCTGATATTTATCCCTACGCCAGAATCATGAAAGGTGGTTTGAAATTTGCTGCAGATGCATTGGAGACTGAAAGGGTTTCTATTAAGATCCAACAAGAAGAAGATAAACTACTGTACAATAACGATAATGATACTTATGTCGATATGGCTATTGCGGATATTGATTTTAAATTGGAACTTTTGAAGACGAGTTTTGATAATAACTATGATGAACCATCTCAGATATCTAGATCTATGGATGAACTATCGATCCAAAACAATGAACTGAACGAATCGAATACCTTCTTTTTCTATCAGACTGCATTCAACAACAAAACAAAGTACTTTCTTGCCCCACTTGATGTGAAAGTGTTGGTTGCAGCCTTTGGCACATATTCCCAATTCCCACCAACGCTGGAAGTTATCGTGGAAAATGTCATTTATGGACATACGGTGAGTCCATCAATTTTGAAGAGAATGAAATTCTTATCTCATTTACCTTTAGGCACTGAGTTTGCCCTACTAGAGATCGATTGGAAGCACTCGATAGATCCAGATGTGTATCGACAGTTTGCCAAAGAACTACAAGGAAGAAAGAGAAAGCTTGTACAAAGGCTCAAGAGGGAAGACACTGATAAGAAACGATACGAAACGGAACAAGAAGAAAGAGCCAAACAATTTTACCTACAAGAGAGAAGCGATTGGGGATCTTCAGACTTCCTCCAGTCAACGACAAGTTTTGCTATTGAAACACCACGTGAAACTGAAAATGATGATCTCATATCAGATAGTGATCATGGTAAGGACTATACCACTACGGTATGGGGAACAAGGATCTTGAAGAATCAAGATGCAAGTGCAATTGCAGATGAGCTTGATGATCCGTTCCATACAGAGGAGATTTTAAAGTCAGTGAGTACGATGAAGCCTCAGAAGGGGAAGAAGAAGAAGAGAATTGTTTTAATGTCATCGCAGAGCTCAAGAGCAGCATGAGTCAAACCTTTACAGTCACAATTAGAAAACAAAAATCGTTGATAACGTTACACAATGGAGTTTCTTGTAGAATTCATTAATGTCGATCATGATGGCAAGGAACACCAGATCTTGAGTATCTTCTTGCCAAATTCTGAATTGTCGGATCCTTACTAACTTCTTCATCAACTTGTTCAATTATTTGTCTCTCCCTCTCTTCCTCAAATACTTCCGGTGGTTCTCTCTCTGGGGGCATTGCTTCGTTGACCAAGTCTGCCTTTCTAGCCTGTTGGAAAGTGGATATACTATGTTTAATCGCTTCCGAACCACCTAGCAATGCACCTCTAGGTAAGATCCCATTTCCTGTCATTGTCTTTAACCTTTGAACATTTTCAGCTTCTTCTCTCAGCACTGAAAACATTCTGGAAACACGGCCAATGGCCAGAATTTTATTTCTGAGTGCAGTTCTCAAAACTGCTCGTTCATCATCAGTGTTATCGTCAGAAGCATCACTCACAGATTGTTCAGTAACAGATTGTTCATGTTTGCTTGCCTCATTTTGAACTTTCATGACAACTTTATGATCCACAGGGGTATCCTCGTCCAACTCTTCTTCGGTACATATGTTCAAGACAGAAACTAAGATATCCGTCACTTTTTCGCCGACGAATGGAAGAGACCAGGAAAACACGTCCATGAAGTTTGGTAACCAATATGGATGAGGAGAATAGACAAATTGTCTAATATTCATACTATTATTGGCATATTTTAGCACGGCACCTTTGTTCTTATAAGTGTCGAGATAATTTGGAGCAGAAAACATAGTCAATACAGTTGGGAACTCTTTATCAAGAGACTTCTTGTACGTTCTGTATCCAGCATCCTGAGCTTCATGGGCTCTGATGACACACAGTAGGTTATTTCTTTGCAGGAACTGTGACACTGCTTTGAAAGTGAATGCATAAGAACAACCTCTAACAGTATTTGGGATGAACGCTGTGTCATGATCACCATCATCGTAATCCTCAATGGGATCAGACCACAGTATATCACACATTAAACCTCTTGTTGGTGGCTCTCTGAATCTGTTGAACTTGTTGACATCCTCAGGGGTCTTCAACTCTGGAGATATACCACCATGGCAACAGAAGAATTCGTTGTTCATAACCGCTGCTAAAGGTAAAGCGTTGAATGATTCACACGCAGCCTTATAAACATTCTTGTTGTACTTATGGAGACATTCCATCTTGAAGGTGAAGTACTCAGTCAGGTGCTTGCACTCGTGGTTCCCTCTCAGAAGGAAGAATGTACCGGGATATGTCACCTTATAGGCGTATAGCAACAATAAGCATTCTATTGAGAAGGACCCTCTATCGACGTAATCACCAAGGAATAGGTACGAGGTATCCTCCGGATCTCCACCAACTTTTAACAGTTTCAGAAGGTCATAGTACTGTCCGTGTATATCACCACAGACAGTGACTGGGGCAGGAACGCGCAACAAGTTTGGTTCCTTCTTTAGCACATCCGCAGCCATATTGAGAATTTTTATCACTTGGTAATCGTGTAGCCGTCCCTCCCTTCTGAAATGCTCTTTCAAAAAGGGAATGTCTGGTAGGCCATTGGCGAGGAACAGCTCACTGTTTGTAGGCTTGACGTTGGTCACAGGCGTCACCTTGTCGTTAATCCTCTCCTTTGTCGATACGGACCGTCCATCTTCTAAAGTCCGTATACCATAATCTACCACCGTTCCATCGACATTCTTAGTGGCGATTGCCCGAAGAGCGGCACCAATCTTCTCTGAGTTGGATTCCAATGTCATGTTTGTTTACTGTTGATATGGGCCTAGAGCTCAAAAGTTCACGGCGAATTGGTGGTGAATTTGTGTAAGGGAGACCTGCCTTGAAGTACGATGATTAGGTTTTTTTTGCTCTAGACCAGAAAACAAAAAAAAGCACACACAAAAATTAAAAATAGGCTGAGTCGAAAGAACGCGGGCATCTAACTTTTGGTTTACTGCGCCTGTTTTGGAGACCGCGTGGCACGGATGGCCTAGGGATCAAGAATGTTTGTGGCACAGGGGACTTGGGACTAGAATTCAAATGTCAACCAGGCCATGATGTTAGGATTTGTTTATATGCTTTTTAATTGTATGGTATAATGTAGATAGTTGTTTGAGATAACAGTCATTTGTACCACTGAATGGTGTGGATCTTGAACTGATAAGGCCAATGTTCACTCAGATGTCAGAGTGCTTAGATACATTCCCCGATGTCTGTATTGAGTCTGTGAGATCTTTATAAATTCTGTGTTGATTCTTCCCATTCTGTATTGTTGAGCACTGATCGTTCTTAATCCTCCGTGACATACAATGATGTATCTGTTTAGAAGTTGTGGAGCAGCTCATCATCCAGTAGAGACGCTTCTTCAAGGAGCTCTTCCTCGAGGAGCTCTTCCTCAGTGCAGATGTTCAACACAGATAGCAAAACATCGGTAACCTTCTCACTGACAAACGGAAGTGACCATGTGAACACATCCATGAAATTCGGTAGCCAGTATGGGTGTGGAGAGCTCGAGAACTCTTTAATGTTCATACTCTTTTGAGAATATTTCAACACTGCACCTCTGTTTCTATAAGTATCAAGATAATTTGGAGCAGAGAAAATGGTGAAAAGTGTTGGAAATCTTCTATCGACAGACTTCTTGTACATTCTATAGCCGGAGCTTTGAGCCTCATGTGCTCTAATGACACACAAGAGGTTATTTCTGCGCAAGAATTGAGATACTCCTCTGAAGGTATATGCAAAGGAGCAGCCTCTAACTCTGTTTAGGAGGAATGCCGGATCGTCATCAGTTCCACAGTCGTAATCTTCAATAGGATCAGACCACAGCAGATCACACATCAGACCTCTTGTTGGTGGCTCTTTGAATCTGTTTAACCTGTTGACGTCTTCAGGGGTATTCAACTCAGGTGAAATACCACCATGACAGCAGAAGATTTTGCTATTTAAAATCGTTGCCAGAGGTAAAGCGTTAAACGATTCACACGCAGCATCGTAAACCCTGTAATCATACTTGTGCAGGCATTCTTTCTTGAAGGTAAAATACTCAGTCAAGTGCTTACACTCATGATTGCCTCTCAATAAGAAAAATGTACCTGGATATGTGACTTTATAGGAATATAACAAAAGCAGGCATTCCATCGAGAAGAAACCTCTATCGACGTAATCACCAAGGAAAAGGTACGAAGTGTCAATCGGATCACCGCACATTTCAAACAAGGTTAGAAGGTCGTAATACTGGCCGTGGATATCACCACAAATAGTTACAGGTGCAGAGATACACAACAGATTTGGCTCTTTTCTCAAGACTTTTGTTGCCATGCTAAAGATCTTTATTACCTGTTGATTGTGCAATCTGCCTTCTTGTTTGAGAAATTCTTTCAAGAAAGGGATATTTGGTAGTCCATTTTCTAGGAACAACTCACGATCAGTAGGCTTCATTGAATTCGTGATCATGGGAGCTGTACCATTGACAATCCTCTGCGTTGTAGAAACAACCTGTCCATTCTCCATAGTGCGGACGCTATAGTCAACTGCATCCACATTGCTATCTTTAATTGCACGGAGAGCAGTTCTGATCCTCTCTGAGTTGCTGGAGGACATCTGGTACAATCAGACACAAGAGTGATAGATTATCTGAAATATTCTTACTTCTGAGTGACTGAAGTTATGAGTTCATGACTAAATAAATTCTGGGAGCGAGGATCTGTATTTATAGCTGACTGTAGATATCGTTATCAACAAGCAGCACTAAAAAAGAAGGGGTCATTCTAGTATTGGTTCCCTGTGGCTGCTTTTACAAAATCTGACCAATACAGCTTTGACTACACAGTGCACCACCATACGCATGGAAATTCTAATATCTCTACGTTGACAGAAAATGACTGCCTAGAATCAAATGGATGCTTTACGATCTTCGCTTCTAACATTCAACGTCCTCCGATGGAATGCCCAGTGATCTTCCACCCCCCTGCGCCACACACCTGCATAATCTTACAAACAAACGAAAAGTTTAGTGTGCGCTATTGTTTACGCCCCGCTGCCAGTGTTCAAAAAATGGGCTTCATTAAGGGGATTATTTATCAATATTGATAGACAGAGCATCATTGGGAATAATAATACAGTATGATTATACCAGAGTATGTGTAATAGCTCACTATTGGAAGAATTGGTGTATTATGCTTCAGGGGGTGGACTAAACTATTGGAGATCTATTGCAACATGCGTTTTTCCTTTTTTTTGCTTTGTTCGCCCGTGGGTTCCAGCCTGTGTTCCACCACTGGTCGGCTGAGGCGAGTGCACATGGATTTTATCAATTACATAAAAATGACCATCTAACCATGCAAGATAAAGTACACAACGTTTTGAATGTGTGACTCCTCTGGTCATTTGCGCATTCAGTCACAGCCCACAGATGTTAGCTACTGCCAATAATGTACGGGTGTATTTTCTTCGTCCTATCTTGGTGTATAACTGTGATTTTGGAGCTGACACAAAACCTGGAGTCCACCAATATGTCATTGTCATTAGGGGTTCCATAGCAAGCATTCCATTAACAGAGTGATTCCAAAGGATTAGATATATCTATCACCAAAGCACACTGTGTTCGATGTTGTCTTCACAACCGGAGTATGATCTTCCTGGATATGCTCAGCCAACAGCATCGTCTATAAAGCTCTCAACGCCGAAGAAGCGCGGATCACGAGAACAGACTAGGTGTCAGATGCCGATGTCCTTAAGGTTACAAGGCCAAAAGTCACCAGGAAAGAACGTTTCCAAGATAGCGACCCGTCCGAGTCGTTATCCCTCAAATGTGGACGATACATATGTCATTTCAGCGACAAATTCAAGGATTGCGGGACCTAGGACCGGCACCAATTATGTATCACCAAAGTTAGTCAGACCTATGCTAATGAGATCGAGTGCAGTTAAAACAGCACCAAGGAAGTCATTAAAAGCGTTGATTTCAGAGACAGATTCGCTCTTACAACAGCTCTCCAAACACCCGCTTGAAGAAATATTCAGCTGCGAACTTGAAAAGTTCGAGCGTAAACAACTGATAACCATGGAGGATTGGCAATCCTTGATTTGTTATCACAAGGAAATCATGGCCAAAGTCATGGCAAAGATTGATTTGGACCATGAATTGATTCAACATGTATTGGAGTTGAATAACGCCATTTCGGCTCCAGTGAGTGATATTGATCCATAGCGCGATGGAGAGGCGCTGACCATTATTATATTCATTAGCTTTGTGAAAAACCCTCATAGTATACTTTTGTGAATTAAATCTTCAAATTCCTTGTAGAATCCAATCTTTAACAAGAGCTCTCTTTCATCACATCTGAGATAAGACAGTATTGATGGTGTGAACACCGTAAAATCTCTATCTTTGGATTCAAATTGTTTAAAACACTTTATGAACGTTATCCATTGCAATTTATTCCAGTGTTCTGCATCTCCTGGTGGATCCGTATCTGCGGTAGTACCGCTATCTCTATCAACGATAACTTTGTCTGCACTTTTTGTTGGTTCGTGAGATGGTAGGTTAGGATAAAGTGGAGCTTTATGAATGACAGTGTTCAGCTGCGGTGTTGATGAGGTCAAATCTGGATATATTTTGTCTTGTTTTGGCTTCTTGTGTTGTGATGTGGAATCATCTTCTAAAATGTTTCTCTTTTGAGTGGATGCTTTCTTGACTGGTGATAGTTTGACCGTTAACTCAGGAACAGGCTCCTCTTCACTGGACTCAAACCTTGACAAGTCTATTGATTTTGTCCCTGTAGGTATACGTCTTGGTGGAGACTTCAGATCATTTGGATGTTCATCTTGGTGTATCTTTACCATACTACTATTTCGTTTCACCGGTGATAATAATGAAGTGAGAGGTTTTGAGCTTGTTTCCGTCGATTGTGATACTGGTTGTCTTGCAAGCATATTAGTCTGCTTAATTGGCGACAATTTCGACGATATATTTGTGATTTCTCTTGAAGGTGTTGGGAGTTTGGGATATATCGAGGGGATATTAGTGACCTTCCTTGGTGATGACGTCGATGGTGACTTGTGAAAGCTTCCCAGGGGTTCCTTTTCATAGCGCAGCTTTTCTGGACTGATTAATTCACTTGGTATGTCACTCAGTATCGTGGCATTGCCCTTAATATGATCCGAATCATCGTCACCATCGACATCGTCTTCAAATTCGTCATCAGGTCCATTATCGACGCTTTTATCCTGACGTATCGATAGAGTTCGGTTTCTAAAGACAGCATCTCTTTGGGAGCTTTTGGCACTTAGTAATTTTGGAGTACCTTGTCTCATCTTCTCCTTTGGAGAGCCACGTAGAGGCATGTTAATGACCGATGTTTCAATCGCATCCTCTTCACTTGACGCGTATTTTCTAGCCTTGACTGGAGAGGTAAACTGCTCGGGCTCTTTAGACACCATCGACGCGAGAATGTCGGAGCCTCTAACGAGTCGTCTTCTGGATACCGAGCCAGTGTCATCAGAAATCACAGAGCTGCGTCTTCCAGGTCTGGTGGAACTTGTCGTCTGTAGCCGTCTTGAAGAACTACTTGTTCCAGCCATTGATCTCCTTGGTGTGAGGGTGTTGAGAACAGAATTACTCTCATACTTCTCAAAGTTCTCTGATAACTGTCGCCGTATCTCATCCGTCATTCTTAAGGTGCTTCAAACTCTTTAATGACTTGTAGTCCGTGATACGACGTATAGTAATTTCCCTTGTTTACTCTTTTCTTAATGTTGTTGTTGTCCTTGAAACCCCAATACAACCTCTTCCTTTTTTCGCAACTAATTTCCCAATTGAGACCATTTTGTGGGTTTTCGGTAACAAACACGAAACGCTACCCGAAAACGGTTTAAATTTTCGGTACCTCACGTTCGTTTCACATTTTTGTGGGTTTTGTCCCTTCGTTTGACGGTTTTCATTGCGGAAAAACCTGTGACCGCAGATCCTTGGAAATTGAAATCAGAATCAAAGTCAAACAAATAACAAACTTAGTCAAATTTATCACCACCTCACTTCCAACAGAAATTCTCAAGAAAAGAAAGCCAACAGAGCAAGCAAGCAAGAGCCTTCTTCAAAATCGCTGTGTCTTCTGAAACCATTTGTGATTTGGTCTTCTGTGCTTACTATACGATTCTTATTGTGAAATTTTTGCCTTTCTTTGTTCCGTCTTCTGTGTGTATTTTTTTGGCTGTGTTTCTTTTTTGCCGTCAGCCAGTACTTTTAGACAAGTTATACGAAGGGGCGTCCCATATATTGTTCTTGAACCAGAGACCGAACTCCACATACATCATCAAAAATGCCATCTACAGTTATACTACCAGAAGAGCCAGCACCGGAATCACTATCACCTCAGGGGAACTCACAGGCGACTCACAGACGTCGTTCTTCCTCTATAATCTCCATAACACACGTTAGTGAGGAGACCTTTGAGGAGAAGATTGATCAAGAGACTGAACCAAACTTGAACGCCAACTGGGTTGGGTCTAAAGGTGCATGGGTGATCCACATTGTTATAATCATATTCCTCAAGATCTTCTATAACTTGGTTCCAGGAGTGACGAATGAGATCAGTTGGTCTTTGACCAATGCGACGTACGTTATTGGCTCATACATTATGTTCCACCTAGTTAAGGGTATCCCATTTGAGTTCAACTCTGGTGCATATGATAACCTTACAATGTGGGAACAGTTGGATGAGGGTGATTTCTACACGCCAAGCAAAAAATTCCTTGTTGGAGTGCCAATTTGGTTATTCCTCATGACTACACACTACAGCCACTACGACCTTCAACTGTTCATCATCAACTTGCTGATCTGCCTTGTTGGTGTGGTACCAAAACTACCAGTGTTTGACCGTTTAAGAATATCCCTGTTCTAGAATGCAACTAGCTTCACAGAACAACACAAGCGTGTTCGCCTCTCTATCCCCTTTTTATGTGTGTTTCTCTTTTTTTTTTCTTTTATTTTTATATCTATACACACACTTATATACAGCATACCGGATGAACTCAGTCAATCAATCTCAAAAGAAATAAACGAAATTTCTAAGTGAACTCTACGACATTTGTGTACACTCATTCATAAATGTATAAACTTATCTAGCAGCATATATATTTATCTCATCCATAAAGTCTCATCTTGACCCTCTCCAATATTGGATCTTCAATGCCTTTGTCTAAGCAAAGCTTGTAAAGACTTTGAACTAGATCGTAGTCATCTTGAATGGATAACTGTGAAATTGAATTTGAAGGGTTGGAGTAGATCATACAACTCGACTTCGTACTACTTGCATCGTCAGATGAACTTGATGAGAACACAGATTCTGCTGTGGTCTTGAAGCTTGAAAGCATCTTCTTCATGAATGATCTGTTCGATTTAGGCTTTTTCGATTCAATCTTGGAGAACACATCTTCCAATGTAGACAAATGTTCAGATGAGTAGTGATTCACTGGTAACGACATCACTGAATCAATGAACAAGTCAACATCCTGTTGAAATATTCCCCAGCAATTCTCTGAGAGCAAGTGTTGATATATGAGCTCTGAATCTTGAATGGTCTTCAATAGATCTGTATTTTTGGACAACACCGTAATACCAACTCTGAAAAGTGTTGATTTCACACCTTCAAGCAGTAGAACATCAAACATTCTAATGAGGAAACTGAATGGGATCGTTATAGAGAAAAATGAGAGGAACCACTGTGCTAAAAACATCTGTATGTCAATGTTCAATTCTTTGAAATGAGCATATAACTCTGGAACTTCAGTCTCAAAGATTTTATCGAATTGGAAGAACCAGAGGTGCAGCCCAGACATCTCATGATCGTAGATAGGTCTTAGTTTGTTTAGTTCAAAGATTTTGACCAATGCATTGAATGTTTTCAGGTCATCTTTGAAATGGAACAGCAAAGGGGCCACAATGAACTGTAGTCCTTGACAGTAACCCATCTCTGAGTCAAATATGCTGTATGCATTCAAGATGTTTTCGAACTTGGTCTTTGTCGAATACTCGGCAAACATAGAGATCTCAGGAAACGTTCTATTGACATCCTTGACGATGATGGAGATATCCGGAGACACATCTTTGTTGAGGGAATGGTAAAGGTTTTCCATGTAGTTGTCCGTGGTACCTTGGGCATTACCCGCCAATGTAAAAAGTCCCCAGATTCTCGATCTAAGAGCAGGTGGAATTCCATGTGTCAACATGAGTCGAGTATAGTTTGGCAACGTCATCACACAACATGGGAAAGAGTTGAGTAAAAACCACCAAAATGAAACGTCCAAAGACACCGCATGCTTATAGCGTTCAACTGATTCATAACAGCAAGGTTGCAAATCTGCTTGCAATTCACCCTTAGATGCACATTCATCGTTGTAGAACAGCTTCTGGTGGCATTTGTTGCAACATTGAGCCAAGTTGAAGTCGCCGTCGGATTGTAAGAGCTTCTCGATCTCGTCTGCAGACACCTCGCATGAGGGCGATGAAACTTGAGACGAGATCAATTCGAAATGCGAAAGGAGCAGCGAAGTCTGCTCCGTGGAGGAGACGAGTCCATGTGCTTCTTCCAACGACTTTTCAAGTTGGAGCAACTCTGGTAATGAAGAAAGACCCATCCTGTAATATAACCTGCTAGTTTTGTCCTGTGGGCTCTGCTTCTATTATGAGACAGAAATGTAGTAAGTGGCTGGCTTGTTAAAAATGAACGACTGGCCAATTGATGTGGCTGTGAACAGGGAAGGAAAAAGGAGTGACTGGTGAGTTGAATTTCTCACTGGATATGAAGCTTGTAAAGGAGTGTCGATGGTTTGGATTTGTGCTAAAGGAGTGAATGGAGTTGTGAAATCGGTTATGGGTGGCCTGTTTTATACCACAACTGGTTCCAAAGTGAAAGGAGACAAAAAAAGCTGGTCAGTGTTTCACCGTGTCTATATTTTTGTTGCGCGTATCAAATTCTGGTTTGACACTTCTGCCCCTACCGCGTATTTTAAAGTTCTTCCAAAGATTTTGTGGCACTTGTGGAGATTTAAGGTTTTTATTGTTTGTATATTTTCCTTTCTCCGCCCTTGCGTTGCTATGACAACCAAAGGTCACCAGCTATATATAGAAAAGACGAACTACGCAGGCGAGTTTGAATGAATTGGTCTATCTTGTACTCATTAGTATATTATGTCTATATGCAACTGGTGGTGTGTGTATTAGTAGTCCACAATGATTGGGGTGGTATTATTAGTGGATGAAATTAGGTGTCCTTACCAAGGACAAGTGTTGTTTGTGTTGTGAGGTCAGGGTTGTGTGATTTTGAGAGTTTTGCTTCATCGGCAACGACCGTTGCTACAACATCCAAGCTGTCCTCTTCGGTATCGCTTGGAACGTCCTTGTGTGCCTCTTCATCATCAACAGTCTTTTTCTGGTGTCTACCGATTCTAATCCACCAAACGACATGGGAGGTGAAGATACCCAACTCCATAGCGGCGACGATACAGTAGAGCACAATTCCCATGATGTCCATTTCTCTGGCAAATACCAAGGACAAGATACTGAAGAAAGCACCGGAAAAGTCGAGTGACAGGAATACAAAGTTGATACCGACAACTCTTCCCTGTCTCTTTGCCAATTCGAAATATGGAGGAACCAACCCGACTGCAAGCAGGATAGATGCAATGACACCAAAGATTAAAGAAGGCCATTCAGTGCCATCATCATATGCGTTTCTGCATGGGATGATGAACCCTGCTTCCAATGCAATTCCCACAACCAAGAAAGTGGAAATAAGTGTTATTAGTCTCTTCCGAGAGACCTGAACCGGTGGGTAGTACAACGCTTGTGCCCAGGTTATCACACAAAGCGTGGTAAAGATTTGTGGTTGGACCATGATTGGAATGGACGATCTTCTAGAGACAAAGTATATGGAGAATGGAACACCACTGGCTGACCACAAGAACAGCATCAGCGGTCTTAAGCCCTCACAGTTCTTGTGACGATAATTGTGAATTATCTGTGGAATCAGCTGAATACACCAGCATACAGTACCGATTGTACCCAAAATGTTAGCAGCAGGAGTTTCAGACATTATGGAGCCTTGTTTTATCTTCTTGAGTTTTATAGCAAAACTGTGGAGTTCAATGTTCTGCCTATTCGGAGGGCCAAGCTGTGTGAATTTTCTAGACGGTTAATGCAGCTTTTCGAGAACACTCTGAAAACGCTCTTTTTTGTGTCAAATGGCTGCAGAAATAATACCAAATGCTTCTAGCAAGGAAATCTTTGGTAAAGAGAAGACAGCTATAGGTCCGTGTCAAACTATGATTGTTTTATCCAAACTTGGTTAAAGATATCTGGTCAAAAAAGGGCAGATGTGCAATTTTTTATACCTTCATTGGAAAATTTTTACTAGCATGTGAAATCCCTGTGGGAATTTTTCAATGCACTTGGGTGGAATGGCGAGAGCACTTAATTTAACAGGCGAAAATCGCACCTACTTTCTCAAAGCGGGAAGTGGGAGCACTGATGAGTCAAGTTTTTAGTGGAGGGTGTGGCTGTTGTTGAGAAGTTGACGAGTCTATGAGTGGAGGTTCGTCACCAAAGGCTCGTTCGAAGGGAAAGTCGTATAAGTCCGGTGTTTTGAGATGTTTCTATGACGAGCTGGGTAACAAGGCAGTGTGAACTCCTCCAGTGTTGGTAACGATGGATGCAAGTGTAATACCGTTTCTGCATAGTGGGAACAAATGTGCAGGGCATTTTGCAGGCCACAGCAGTAATTAATCCACGGGAATTATTCTTGACTCATCATGTCTATGGAAATTTGAAGAAAAAGCAATTCTACCACTGTATAGGCTAAAGAGGTCTCTAGGAAGCACTTTGGTGACTAAGTGTTGTACATACCCGTGCAGTGTCTTCACGGCTCATTATAGTAGAGAGCATTTTTCTCTTTGGCATTGTCTAGAAACCACTACGCGTATGGTACGAATTCAGCGCGCGGAGGTTTCCACGAAAAAGGAAAGTCGAGTCACTCAGTAGCTATTGAGCATAGTGAACAACGGCTACGCCCTGCTGGTGAATTGTGGCTCTGTTATGAAACAACGACCCAAATGGAAGCTTGATGCTATGAAAATTGTACTTCATATAATGTTAGGCTAAAGCGTAGCATACACTGCACGGAAGGTCATAATCGTGGAAAGTGGAAACTACAACCGGCCACTAAACTCAATTAGTTTGTCAGCTAAACATACAATGCCCTTCATGCTCTAGTCCCAGAGAAATGAATTTCTTGGTCATAAACACATTGTCTTGGTTTACGAAACTGGGCAAATGTTCAGTGAATTAACCGCAAATGCTCCTCAAAGAAAATTCTTCAAACGGGAAAGCTGTCAAGTGGTGCGCGGAGATCGTTTCCCGACTGCCTAAGACTGAAAAAAATGAAGAAAAGAAAAAGAAAAGAGAAAAAGAAACTACGAGCAAAATCCATAACCACTCGCTGCACATTGAACGTCTTACATGCAGTGAAGTTGATCGTCAGCTGTGATGGTTATTCGCTCTACAATGTTCATTTACAGCCAGCTTGTAGTACAATGCTTTTTTACAATCATTCATATATAATTGATTCACCTTACTCAAAAGAAAGTAGTGCTTGGTGATGGTCTGCAATGAGAGCTTCGGCATCTTCTGTAATCACAGATACTCTTATGAGTGTCTGGTCACAAATGGATCTTTCAATGCTCTCCATTCAACCAATGGCCACACACCTTCAGGAGAGGTGGCCTGTTGGAAGGACTTCAAAAGTGATGGGGACTACCTGGCAATATCTATGGATTCAAGGGTTAATGTGGAAACTGGAAAGTAACTGTTTAGAAGATGTTTCTTTACTAATGGATCTTTTCGAAGAGAAGAGTAGCAAACTCCATTGAGTGTGCTGTATGTCTCCTAGTTCTTTTTGAGATGCTTTACGTCTTTGAGATGCTTTACCAATTTGAGCGCATGTTCAGCTTGTGTCCTCACTCTGATTACAAGTGTTCTCAGAGATCTTAATAGAAGGGATGTTTCCAAATTGGCAACGTTACTGCCCAAAAATATTCGATCAATCAACAATCTAATTTTCATATCTTGAGTCTTAACAGAGATTAATACTGCCAATATATCAGACCATACACCAAAGTACTTTGTTGCAGACTGGATAACAATCGCAACCTCCAATTTGAAAGGGTCTTGAAGTGAAGGATGTATAGAGGTGATGTCCCCTGAGAGAATAACATCCTTTTCATGAACAATTTCTGCAAAGTACTCCAGGTCAATCGATGTTTCATTTTCATTTATTGGTATCTCAATGTGTACTGAATCATCAAGGTTAAGCTTTTTCAAGTCGTCCGAAGATAGGACTATTGTTTAACTTCAAAGGTTCTTCAATGGAGCTCAACAACTCTCTTCATCCCATGATAGTACTGACCGTAGCTACCTGTTTCGAGTTGGCATGTATCATTAGACCTTAACATACAAAAATTCCTGAGCAATACAGTACTGAAGCCGTATAAATGATTTCTTCAAGTAGAATTTCAAGCTTTTGATCTTTTGTATGAACATCTCTGCAATAGATTATCTCAGTATCTTGCAAAACTTCGTGGTTCGGATTATCAATCACAAGAATCAATTTCAATAGACCATCATTGAATCCAAATGTACTTGCAATTGTTAATCAATGCACTTTTGGATGGAGCTTCTTACATATTATTCTGTTAAAACAACACCCGAACAATCAATACTCACCAACATTAGCAACTTGGTCTAGCGGTCCGTCTTCATGGAGATGTTTAGTAGAGAAGCCAACCATGAGGTCTGTTTTATCTGTTGAAGATAAAAGGGATCTGGAAATATTGGGATCTCAATTAAAGCTACGACATTTCACGCTTTATTTAGTGACAACATCGGCTGTATACTCTTGACTGTCGAGAATGACCGCATCTCACAGTGCTTCCGCTATGGACAAGTGGTAGAGTCCGTTCAACAGCTATGTAGAGATGAGAGTGTTGGATTGCTGTATAACAGTCATTCCCAGATGTGGGGATACAACAAAGAAAATAATTGATTGTCACTTGAGGGAATGGATCTGCTATTTCTCTTCTCAAAATGAGGAACGTGATAAGCAATTGTTGAAATCAATCATTCAACAGCATTGTTGGTTATGTGCTAAACCTATTTCTCCTCTTATTTGATCATCTACTTGGCAGTTCTACATTAGACAGCATTTGTTCAAATCATAATTTGTTTTAATTCATCGGCATTGGAATGATGTGGAGAACCATCGTTGATATTAATCCAGTAGCGAACTATTCCCTATCACAGCTCCAGTTTCTAGTCCATTAACCCGCGCTTCACACCCTTATCTCAGTAGCGAAATCAGTATGCCGACGGAGCTGCCAACGGGGCTTCCAACGGACGTTAAGGCGCAGCAAACGGTTGACATCGCTAAGCATTCCTTGGTATTTTGACACTTACTAATACACCCTATGGCTTTTCATGTTTGTTTGTTCGTAGATGATTTCTTTGCTTTGCATTGAACAATTGAGGGTTGGCATTTCGTAAATCTCTCTCTGGATCACCAGTTCAACAAGGAGAGAAGATAACAAAAATACAAATGCACGTTTATCTGACCTGTAAATGGCAAAGGTTTAAGGTGTTTCGATAGGCAAATAGTGTTTCACCGTGAGCCACATATCATTGCTAACAAGAACGAATAGTTTGGTTACATGACACATTTTAAGGCTGTGCATTTAGCATCCACGCCACAGCCAAAATGTACGCACGCTTTGACGTTCTTTAATAGAACATATGTTAGATTAAGCAACAAGGTCACGCATTCTAGATTGGGTTAATTAAGTCTAGAAAAACGTTCTATGCAAAATATACTATAAAACATGTTCTTTATCTCTTTCCAATTTCTAATTCTGTGTTCCATAGCTTCTTAACCATTTGTGAGCATCAAGGAAATCCTCTTCATCATGGTGCTTCAAGTATACAACATCAGAAAGGTGTCATTTGTACCTTGGTCGTTATTTCTACTTTCCCAATTGACAGTTTTTGTTATCATTTTGATAATGATCACTTCATGGAAGTTGTCCTTTGTGGAACTGAACAATCAAGATATCAATGTTACGTCTGTTTATGAGGACGAAATACTCCGCAACATTGGCAGTGAGAATAGCATGTATTACACTGAAATATACAATGAACAACTGCCATCATATACTATCAGTGACACAACACTGGCAGACTACTACCGGTTGTACTTAGACGAGTACTGCTCTGGTGAATATATCAACGGCAGCTGGACTCAAATTGAGTGTTTTACATGGACAACAGAAGATGGAGTCGATGAGATATACGGCACCAGAAACTTGAACACCACGATTAACGATGTGGATGATGGTTTCACTTTGCACTATTTTAACGACAAAAGTGGAACAGCCCGTGTAGCGTTGCACAAGCTATTTTATTCCATGCTGGCATTCATCCCATTTTCAATAATCATTTGTTGCTTGTACTGGTTTTGCTTCACCGGGACTGAAACACGTTCACATTGGGCTTGGAGATCTCTGATTTCATTGTTTTGTTTGGCACCTGTGATTGAATCCATACTAGCTGTGGTCTTTACAAGAAACATGTATACCGATTTGAAGCACGCGATAAACGACAAAAAGTCCTTATCAGGGGTGAAAGCTGACTACTTTTATACGCTGCTGTCAATGTGTATCCTCATCCTTTCACTGACTGTCTTCGCTTTTCTGATAAGTTCCTTCGTTTTATTCTTTTTGAAACCTATTTCTCCAATGGTTGAAGTCGTTGACTTGAACTACAGTGGTGAGAAGGAGTTTGACACGCAATCAACATCTGCGTCAGAAAGTTCAAACTCTGTACCTACAAGAGGCACCTTCACAAACACTCCTCCTCAATATACTCCTCATGAATATCCTCCAGCTCCATTGTCATACACACCACCTACGGAGTTTCACCCTTCTTTGCTATTTCCCGCTTCACAGTACCATCAGAACTATTATACATCTACGTCTCAGCCTACTTATATTGATGGATCTCAAGTGCATAACCCATACTGTGCATTTCATGATACCCAATACCGTGACCAGAACCCCTATACAGGAATAAGTAGCCTTCTAGACATCTTAAACCTGGGAAATCAGCTGCTATCAATGTTCAGTTGAGCAATGAGCATTGAGCTGTTCGGATCTTTACCACAACATATGATTAACCAAACTTTGAAAGTTAGCTCTGATCAACTATTGTTTCAATTTGATTTTCTTATCATTGAGTAACTTTGTAGTACTCATCGGTGAGATCTATGTAAGTTGATGCCCGACACTTTCCCCTAATTCCGCGCAAAGTTCCAAATTCCCACCCTTTCTCATTAGAGTAAACATCAGCGAGCCGACTAATTAAAAGTCTTAACACAGTGAACTTCAACAGTATGACCAAGTTAAAGATATTACCTGGAAGTACCCTGAGTACAAGTGACACATGTCTGGGAGCTAATTCCGGTCTGAGTGACCAACTTTCCTCGTGCTTCGCCTCCATGGAGGAAGTTGAGCTATAGCATACCTGCATCGGCATCGGCTAGACGAAAGTTAAGTACGACGCATGTTATTGTCCATGTAGTTCCAAAATAGGTAACGTCTGTACTAAGTGAAGTAAGGTGTTTGGCGAATTTGCCCAAACTCAATAGTAACTATATCCCCGACGGTGTAATTTGAAACTGCGCGGTGTGGCACACAATATTCCAACGATGTTCAGTGACATCATAACCCTGGATTTGGAGAATGGTGTCAAATAATAATGATTATAGAGTAAAACGTGGAGCAAAACAACAACAAACTTAATCTTGGGGACGCAATAGCGTCCAATGGTCACCATTCATGAGTCCATGACCTAGTTCATTATCGTTTCATTTCGATCTTGTCGTCCAATCGACCGTCCCTTAATGGCAGCAGTCAGAATGTTCTGTACACATGGGTAACACATTCCAATGATTTAGGTAGAGTCATCTCTTATCTCTTACAAGTCTATATAAATTGCCCTGATGTCTGTGAATAATGTAGTATAGCACAGGAAAGCGAAATACATCACCAAACTCATGTTACTCAAAGTTCATAACATTAGAACTGCTTCTGCTGGGCCTGTGGGAGTGTTTTTCCTTTGTCACTTAGTGGCATTTTCACTCGTATTAGGGATTATCAAATCCTGGAAGATACCGTTTGCTGAATTGAACAATAAGAATATCAATGCTGCATCTGTCTACAGAAATGAACCTGTTTACAATTCCATGAGAGATGGCAAGACAAATGACTTTACAACTTCAGAGTATAACATCAGTGATACAACATTGGCTGAATATTACAGGCTTTACATCAATGAATACTGTTCTGGGATCCACTTGCAAACAGGTTGGAGTGAGATTCAATGTTTCTATTGGAACACAGTGTATGGAATTGATGAGATCTACACTGACAGAAATACCAATATTGCAACAAGTACTCTAGGACAACCTCAAAGAGTAGAGTACTTTATGGATAAAACTGGAACTTCCCGGAGATCGCTGTCCAAGTTGTTCTATGCTCTGATTGGGTCAATTGTACTTGCAGTGATCTCCTACGGCTTGTATTGGAGTTACTTTACAAGCTTGAAGACGGGTTTCTACTGGTTTTGGAAATGTTTTGTGTTGTGTGTTTGCTTAGTCCCTGTGATCGAATCTCTCGTTCTTGTTGTTGTCACGAACAACATGTACAACAACCTCAAGGGAAGAATCGATGTCAAGAATTCCTCATCCGGTGTGAGTTCAGAGTATAATTACACTTTTCAAAGTCTCTGTGTTGTTATTTTGAGCGCTGTTGGAATTGCATTTATGATATGTCTTTTCAATCTCTGTTGTCTACGACCTGTTTCTTCTACGGTCGAGGTTGTTGAGCAATACGAGGAATACCCAGAACAAGCGCCGGTTACAGCAACAATCAATATAACAGCGGCACCAATGGTCCCAACTCAAACATCAATATGTCCAATTCCAACACCACCGCCAGCTTATGTTAAGAATGAGCAGAATAGACAATGGTTACCTTGGCCAAACCATCCAATTGGCTTTATGCAAGTTAATATGCAAGCATTCTACCAAGCACTGCCACTTCACAGCAGCAGAAGTACAAGAACAACGACATATACCACTTATTATGATGCTTAGTACTGACCCATATGATATATTATGATACTGACTGACCAATTGAGATCCTTAAAAATTAAATTTCTCTTAATGTTCTATGACGTAGAAGCGACCGAAGCGTAAAATATGCAAGTTAAAGCCACGTTGGACCCTCAAACTCCGCCAGAGCAATTGTTGCAAAAGACACAAGAGGTGGATCAGCCCTTTCAAGAATCTGTTCAGTTCCAGTATTTGGTGGGAAGTTGAGTAGGTTCGTAACTGCGGAACTTATCTGTCAGCCGAATTTCCTTTCATTTGTTTTCTCTTGGAAACGTGTACAAGGAGGCGAGGAGAGAGAGGGATTAATTAACAAATGCAGGGTTTGGGGAGTTAGATAAATGTAGCACGTTTCTATAGTTCGAAACTCCGACGGTTTAAGACAAAGTCATAACTTCAAAAATTCCAGAATTGGTCACAGTAGTCACAAATCATTTGGCCAACATGATGTAATTGGTTAATGTGAATACTTCTTGCTCTATCATTTCTGTGGAAAACGTGTCTAATTTAATATACACTTCAGAATGTTGAGCGAATCATACAGTATGTAATGGCAAAGATCTTTGTTGAAGAACTCACTATAAAAACTGCTGGAGTTGTAACTTATTGATTGACAAAATGAGGACTCAACTCTGCAAACCACAATGAAATTTTCAATTGATCGAATCTTCACAGACAGATGGAAACTGGACCACACCATTCTCCTGCTGGCGTTTTTGACCGTTGCTTCTGTTATATCTGGTCTGTGTCTATGCATAACTCTTGTTGTCGACCCACAATATTACATTGAACTCAACAACACTGACATCAATGCAACTGCTGTGTACAGAGCAGATGTTTACAATATCTTGAAGAAAGACCAACCAGACCTTACTCCAAGCTCAACTTTACCCCAGTACGGACTCAACGCAACAACCCTTTCTCCATATTATAGACTAGGGTTACACAAGTATTGTGAGGGCCAATATAAAGATGAAGTTTGGCTGCAAGGAGCTTGTTTCCACTGGGATACAGGACATGTTGGTATTGATGACATTTACAACAACAGAAATTGGGATGACAGAACACGGTATGGTTACCTTGTGAGCTACTTTAGAGACAGTACTGCCTTCTCAAGAAAGATTGTATTTGGAATGTTCATAGCAGCACTGGCTGTGTTTGGACTTGTTCTCTCGTACTTGGTCTTTATTTTACTATGGATTGACAGTCTAAAACTCACAAAAACCATCTACTCATCAATTGGAACAGTGGTGTTTATTTCGCTAATTTTGGCCAATTGTTTGCAGCTTGCATTTGTTGTTGGTATGCTGCAAACGAAGGTTATTAGAAGAGTCAGATATATGGAGCCCCAGTCACATATCTCTGGAGAGTTGAACAACAACTTAACAGTAAGGTGTTCGGTTACATTGACTCTAGCAATATTGGCTACTGTTCTCTTTTTGATTGTGAGTCGAAAATTCAAGAGACTCAACAAGACTGATTCGCCAATGGCTAGTGATGATGTCACTAATAATTCAGTGGAGTCACAAGTTGTTGATACAGAACCAGCTAAGGAGTTCACTGAAAGTGAAGCCCCTCCAGCATATACCGAATGAGCTGATGCAAGCTTTTTTATTTTTCTATAACTGAGGCTTTCAAGTGCAATCGCTGGAGAACATATGAATCAATCATTGGTATTGGTATTAGAGATTATATGTGATACTTTTTAAGATTTCAATTTAGTATCATCTTTAAGGTAAGCAACTGCCATCTGCTCTTCAAGATCATTGGACATTCTATGAGTAACAATTTTACCTTGATTCATCAAGTCCAGTTTCTCTTCTTCAGAAATAACAAAGTTGATACTGGCATGGCGATTCTCAGGCCCAAAAAAGGATGTCACCAATACACCGACAGATATTACCATCACTTTCCCATAGTTGTATGGCCCCACAACTATGTTACCATCCTCGTCATACAGAGGATAGCGCTCGCCAATGGTAGGTTCAATAGTTGGGGAGGCACTCGCTGCTAGATTACCTAGCTGGCACGAGACTCCTACAACGAATACTCGGAATTCTGGAGGTGATAATTCAGATGAGTGGATAGGGATAACACTCCAAGAACTTTGAACAGATAATTTCAAGAAGATAGCACCAGTGTTGATCCCATTTCCATGAATAAATGCCCACGGATATATCTGACATCTACCACGAACACAAGAGATCATCATTTCCAAGAGACGTCCAATAAAATCTGAAGAGTGGCCAATTATCATACCAGCGATAGTTTCAAGTTTGTCAACACAAACTGTCACTATTGACCTGTCATCAGAGAATCCTAATTGAGAGTATCCTAATTGATTGGTCAAGAGAGTAAGGAAAATCAGTCTTGAGATCCATGTGACATGAAGTTCATACCTACCATCAAAAGCACTAGGTAACACATTGTTACCCGTTCTTTTCTGAATGCATTCCAGTCCTTCTTACAAAGGTTTGAATTGCTGTTTTCCATGTGAAGTCTCTCTTAAAGAAATTCATCTGTATCTGGGAGTAGAGCCCGCCAGATGATGATCAGTAGTGAAGGTCCAGATGAGAAACAAACAACAGATTTCCAACCTTGTTCAGTTTTATCAGTAAGGGCTCTCTGGAACAGTACGGCGAGTAAATTACTCAGGTCATAACCCTGCTGTAAAAAGCCAGCAAGGACCTACCCTTCAACATCTGTTATGTTAGGTGAAGAAACAATCATTTCTGTAGGCTGTTATTAGCCGAGTGTGATATGGGCTATAATCAGACTACTACTGTCCATATCAAGCTTTGGCACCCCTCATTGATTGAAAATTAAGATTAAAAGACTTGTTGAAGTGACTTTGAGGGAAGTGTGTTTCTTCATTCTAAAATTACCTCACATCTTCTGCGGTTGGGTCAGTCCTTTTAGGTAATAGGCAACGTCAGCATCCCGAGAGCATAATCAGGGAAATGCTTTCATTTAAACTGATTTATGGTATAAAATAAGAAGTAAAGCGGTGTAAAAATGAACTGTTATGTTGGCAAAACGTTGAGTACTGTAGATGTTTAATTTGCCAGAGTTGTAGTTGTATAACCTTCCCTGACAATTTCGTACTGATGGAAATAGCAAATGTTTCCAGAGTTTGGAATGACACACAACCTTAAGCCTCTCCCGTGATATGAATGCAATCTCTACTAAGTATTTGCATCCTCTTTGTCATTGCTGCGGTCTAACTTCAAGATGTAATTTATCTGCTGAAGCACATTGATTTACACACCACCTCAATCAACAATAGCTCGGGCTTATATCGCTGGCATCCCTTAATACTGAACAATAGTCGATTGAAAGCATCAGTTAAACTTTACAAATCCACAAGGCTTGTCAAACAAGCATAAAATCATTGCCGAGATCTTCAGCGATGAACAGTACTGACTTTCAATGCAGAAGTGTCGATGCTCGTAATCAAGTGGTTTTAAGTCACAGTTTCTCTAGTTATCATTACAATGAGATTATTTCAAACAATAATACACTGTGCTTTCCTTGGAGTAGCTGTATGAGATTATATATAACACACATGACACAGGCAGACTAGATAGATATAGATTGATATGATAGGAGAGTATATATTACTGCAATCATAAGAACAATCTTTTGTACGAAATCTCCAAAGTTAGATATGTATGGATATTAAATTCTGTTACGGGTCTATGGTGGTGCAGTTCTAATAGAAGACAAGATCAATAAGTCTATTGTTACTGGAGTGTGTGAGTGTTATATGGATGCTCATGACTAGGCACCTGGGATAAACTACACAAGGATTCTCTGTTGTAGGGTCGGACACTATCTGTAACATCAATCAGGGTTAAGTAGTTAGCTATGATTCCAAAGAGGTAGCCATTATTATTAGCTCTAACTAGTTGAACTACTGCTCAAGCTGGCTCTGTGAGAATTTCTTGTTGATATATGGAGTCATAAACGTGTCCGAGGTCACAATCATGGTACAGATCCATACTCTATGATATCACAACCTGATTCACATACTATCAACTTCAACCATAATACCACGGTATTGCGCTTGACTTCCCTTTATGTACTATTTAAATGATCAGGGAATTGTCATTACTTTATCAGAGACCCATAACAAACAGTAAATCTTAGACGTAAAGCACATTTATGAAAGGCATTTAAACATTTGGTGCATGAGAATTGGACCAGCAAATCTGTTAGTAAATCATCACATATGTTACAGTGTTTCATGATAAGAGTGTCTCAGTATAGCCAGGTGAAGTTCCACCCTTAACATAGGCAGGAGGTGGGTCTGGTTTAGTACTTTCACCCACACTTGATATTTCTTTTGAACAGTTCACTGAATCTTTTGAAATACTTAGATCGTCAAGGTCTATTGTTTGTTCCTCAGTTGATGTTTGATCTGTTGCATCATTCGACTTTCTGCTGGTTGTCAATTGCTTCATGAAAAAAGAAAACAGTCCACTTAAGGCAAAGGATATCAAGAGAACGGACACCATGATAATCACAAGAATATAGACAGCATTGCTATCAGTCATTCTCAGTCTTGCTGCCTTCATTTTCCTTGAGCCCACGATAGCTCTTACACTATGGGAAAGACGTCGAGCAAAGATAGCAACAACAACAGATTCAATCGTTGTTGCAAAACAGAGGAGGAAGATGTGGAATCTCCAGAGCCAGTGTAAATCATCATTCAGCAACCAGACAAATAACATATACACAACAGTCACGATCGTAGTTATCATTGTGCAAACAGCAATTGAGCCAGAAATGTACGTTATCATTCTTCGAGACTCTGTAGTTCTGTCAAAGAAATACCGAACGCTGTGTCTGTAACTGGGGTTCACAAACACCTCCACATTAGTCCTGTCATCTGTGTTCTGAGAGTTGTAAATCTCATCAATACCATCATCTGTGGTCCAATCAAAGCATTTCGAGTTCTCCCATCCACCTCCAGCTTTGTTCGACCCAGCACAATACTTCTTCAGGTATAATCTGTAATATGGTTCTAACGTGGTGTCATTAATTGTGTAAGATGGTAGGCCCCATAGATCAGATACGTTAAACCCCTGTTGCCTCAGATTGTAGACTATCTCATCGCTGTAAACAACAGTGGCATTCATGTTTCTGTTGTCGATTGTAAGGTAATGGATGTTTGTGCTTCTCAAGGATAACGTAAGGGCTATTGCAAAGGCAATGATTTGAAGTATGGCAACAGCATTAGAAAGTATGAATATGAACTTTTTCTCAGAGTTGAGCATCAGTGGTGTTCTGGTGATCCGTTCAAACTTTCAGGGAGAAGTGGTTCATGCCTTCTGCAATTTATACCCTGAAGTAGATTTCATCGACAACTTGCAAAATTGGGAAAGTTACTCCGAAAATCTTGCAAAACTGTTTGAAATTAGAGTTTCTGGACTTGCGTTTGTTTTGCACATGGATGCGGGTGGTTTTCCCAAAACGCAGGGGGTTGCGTCGTTGCTGTAGATGTTCAATTGCAGTAGATGTCAAGTATGATCAATATGGATCAACATTCGTCTAATGGGTTTTATATTGAGCCTTCCCAAGGTATCCCACGATGTGGAATGATGGCTTCATGGGCTGGGTTTCAATGTTCAAGCTGACAATATTGCTGTGAGTTCATCACCATTCCAGTGACTCTGTTACCAAGACCCTGGTTTGCTTCAAGCTGTTACTACTCTTTACATACCAAGCCTATCGATATGGCAACACAAAGAACGTCAGACCATACAGACAACTTGATCACTGACAGTAAAGGAAGAAAAGTTTCTCGAATATAAGGAAAAGGAGCAGAAAAGGTCATTCATGGACTGTTTGGTATCCATGTTTACTTTCATGTGGGTATTGAATAATCTAAAGCATGGGAAACCCCAGAGTGGCTATAGCAATACCAGTTGCCAGAATCAAGAAGTTGAAGAAACAAGATTAATAGCTTCTTGTGGATCAATACTCAACTTTGCTCTTCTTTTCTTAAGGATATCTAACGTCCTCTCCAATAGGACGAGACCCCTACGCAGGCAGTTAATCATACTAACAAGACCGAGCAGGTACTTATCATCATCTTGGGAGTTGGACTGCAACTGGTTTAAAGTATCCTGTAGTAGCGAGTGGTTTAAAAAACTTATTTATTCATTAAGATATTATATTAATAGATATACTAACTCATGGGAACGTTTAAGAACTGTGTACTCAGAATGGAACTTGGCATTCCTCATGGAAGAAATATCAACACTGGTGACATTTCTATCCATAACATTGGAAGCCACCAATCTGATGAGCTAGTCACGCATCCACACCTTGCAACACAAGATAGCTCCTGATAATATAATCAATCTCTCTTTGAGGTGAGCTCCATAATGATGCGTTTTTTATGTTTACAATTCTTGAGAAACAACAAGATTCCCAGCTTTCTGAACAAAAAAACAACTGGAGTCTGCAAACATATGCGGAAATTGACAAATTTTCGCCACTTTTCGCTGTTTGTTTTTTCAAATTACTCAAATAGGAGGTTTTGCGGAAAATATTGCATTCCAGTTACCTCTACAGTATCCAGCTGTGTAAGCACTCGGACTTGATTACCACAACAGGCCTTCATCATTTAGCCCGTGTTTAATAGCATGTGCACATCAAAGGTGGGCAGTGATCAGCTGTATCTACAAGCTCAAAGTCTACCACACAATCCTACCAGTAGCACCTGTCTCAGAGCTCATTCTCCGCAAGGAAGTATGCATTAGGTCGATCACGGCGAAATATCACAGCATTATCCACGCTTCAACGTAAGTTAGTGTAAATCATACTCAGTCTACCGTGACCGGATGTTACTGCTCATTTATGTTTGATTACGCCAAAAATGACATCATGGGCATTTGGATGACGCGAGTATCAGATTTGCCAGCCATTAACACCAACTCTCGGTGATCTTGTACCGTTCCGAATTGATTGAAACGTCCTCATAACGGCAGTAAACGGCGTATTAGCCCGTGGACAATGTTGGCTCCGCCGGTGTTGGCTGAATAGACCAAGCAGCGAGCGTTAGATGACTTCAATTACGTCAGGGTTTCACTGTTGAGCTTCAATTCCACGATTCTATCGAGATACCAAGACGTCTCCTGCCATAGCCATTAGCTATCTACGTCACAGAGCATTATGTTATATTCATTATCGCGTTAGCAGGAGTAATAGTAATAGTACAGAAGGTGATGATGTACTCAGCACCTTACCCTTTTCTGTGGTGTTGCAATCTCCTGTGAGGAATTACACTCATCACGTGTCCTTGTCACGCCTCTGGTGCCATCGTAGATGTCAACATCTACACACGCCTCGCCAAAGTTGTCGAGTTGGTAGTTCACATCCATATCATCTGCCGTCCCCGTGTTATTGTAGCCATCGTTCTCACTTAGCTCAGAACCCTGCTCCATAGAGTCAAAGAGATAGTGTCCCTCGCTATAAACGTCATTGCCAGCCGTATCGTCTTCCTCAATGTGAAGAGTTAAGCATTTGGCAATTGCTCCAAATGTGTTATAGACCATTTTGTCACCTTTATTGAGCCCAAAATTGGCATAGGTGAACAGCTTTTCGATGCTGCTGTTATAATACCTATCCGTTTCGCCAAACATCGGGATGAGTGAGACTTCCATGCAGTTCGAGTCGTCACATCGTATCTTCATGGATAATTGTAATTGTTTGGATTCGTCTTGAGTCACTAAATGTTCAAGGATACATCCATATGGCACTTGGAGCCCACAATCACCAGCACGGAACCATATCACAAGGGCACAGCTCAGCACATATATATCAACCTCAACCTTATCCTCTCCAACTGGGGGTATCACACGTGATAACAATTGCATTTGAGATGACTTCAACCACCATTTACGGCCACCCCCGTACAATACCGGGTTCTCCTGGAGCGAGAAGTCTCCAGGCGTGCTGGCCCTCTGTAACGCCACGGGATCACAGTTCTCGATAGACGGCTCAAACGAGAGAATAGAAGGGTAACTCATGTGATTCCAACGGGTTCCGTCTGTCTTCTTGAAATGCTTTAAAGCATCTTGAGCTGATGAGTAGGAAAAAATTGTGGCTGCTCCAGATCAAATTTTCCTCGCTCATGTGCGGGTATCATAGCCCATCCGAATCGGGAAAGTTGACGGAGAGATCATCATCTACTGGGGACCAATTGGGCTGTAATTATGGGGCATAATGTGTTTATATGTATTGGTTATATATGGGGAGTAGTTCTAAATCTCAGAGTTGACGTAAAATTTACGTGCTTGTGCTTCAAAACCGTTGAAAGGTGAGGCAGCAGCAGACGTGTAGGCTCCCAAATCAGGGAAGTACAACCAGTCACCAACACAAACGTTGTGTGAAAGCTCAGCGTTGTTGGAAATACAGTCCAATCCGTCACATGTCGGGCCCCAGATTGAAACGTTGTAGGTGTTGCCGTTGGCTTGTTCAGTGTGGTGTCCACCGTAGACAAACTCACCACGGTGTGTGAGGACATGGGCCTGTGGGTGCTGGTGGTCGAACAAGATACAGTTCATGTTGCCGTAGACACCGTCGTTGATGTAAACCATTGGAGGGTCTTGGGACTGACTGCTGTGGTCAAAGACAGATCCTCTCTTCGCAATGACGTGGGTAGCCAAGGTGAATGCGTTGGCAACGAAATAACGACCAGGCTCTGCGATGATTTCAACGTTCGAAGAGACTGGGAAATATTGGTCCAGTGCGACTCTTAAAGCTTGTGATGCCGTGTTGAACGATTCGTATGAGAATCCTCCACCAACATCCAAGATTTGCATGTTGAAACCAAGTTGAGAACCCAGGTCGAAGGTGTGTCTGGCATCACGCACTGCTTTAATCAAGGATTCGTTGTCACTTGCACCTGACCCAACGTGGAATGAAACGCCAGCAATGTCCAACTCCAATTCTCTTGCCAATTCCAGCAAGTTCTTGACAGAGGATAAAGGAGCTCCGTACTTTGTAGATAATCTGCATTGAGCAGATTCGTCGTCAGTGATAATTCTCAACAACAATCTACAACCTGGATGGTACTTCTTGAGCTTATACAACTCATCAGCGTTGTCAAAAGTGGTCAATTGAACATTCTGTTTCTTGGAGTGTCTCAAGAATGAGCCAGTCTTACAAGGGTGTGCATAGATGATTCTTGAAGGATCAACACCCAAGCTTAGAACGAGATCAATCTCACCTTTTGAGGCGCAGTCAAAGTTAACACCCAGGGAAGCCAACAGCTTGAGGACATGTGGATCTGGGTTACATTTCACTGCGTAAAATGGATGAACACGAGGCAAGTTCTGTCTCCAGATTTTGAGCAATCTTTCAATCTTGCCCAAGTCACAGACGAAGAACGAATCTTCTTCACCAGCTTCGCATGTATCGTGGTTGATTCTTTCAACCTCTTGCTGCAAAGCTTGTGACACCAATTGAACGGATCTTTCAGTCTCCAAGGAGATCGGCTCTCTAACATCTTCAACTGCAACAAGCCTCAACCTTTCGTTGTTGAAGCTTCCACGTCTGCCTCTCTGAGCTCTTGCTTCAAATGGCAAAGTCTCTGGGGAGTAGCGAGAGGTGAACGGCTGTTCTTCAACAATTGAGGACAACGACATCTTCGTATTGATCAGAGCCTTGGAATTAGCTGTCAGAGATCTTGCTTTTCTGGCAGAGTCAACCAGTCTCAAGATTGAGGTGTTTGGTTTGGAAGACAGCTTGGTAGATTTTGTGAAAACAGATAAGGCTGTGTCGGTATTTGACAAGTTATAGAACTGTCAAGGAGTTGTCAGAGTGGCACAAAGCAAACTTGTAAACACTCCCGAGACTTTGAAAGCAACGACGGAAGGCTGAACTGGAATGTATACAAGATTCCAGTCTATCAAAGGGCACAAACAACCGTAGCAGGACTTCAAGCGGCAGCTCTCGTGGTTATCTGGACACGTTTCACACAAATATCAGAGTATCGGATGTCAAGTAGGTACTACTTGATAGCAATAGAATAGGAATAAAGAAGAAAACTTTCTTGTAGTTCGTCGAATCTTTGGCAAGTATTATGGGTTGAATAAGAAAACAAATAAACGAGAACACCGGAAAAACTCAGCTATGTTCTTGTTTGCCCTTTTCGTTACTCAACACGGAGAGAAATAAGAGATAAAGTGAAACTTATTGGAAGCAGAATCAAACGTTCTTTGCTCTTAATCTTTTGTAGTTGGAGAAGATGATAAAAAAGCTCAAAACAAAGATGTGAAAAAACGGCTGAGCAACACAAATCCGAAAATTTTCAGATTTTTTTGCGTTTTTTTCAAGGCGTGTAAATGTGGGAATAAGATGGGTCACGTGCTTGCGCACGTGATGGGTAAATAGTGCAACTATATATATACATTTTGTAGCATGGATAAGTCTATTCAGCCGGTTTTATCCCTTCAGAGCGAGAGGAGGATGTATTCTGAGCTACTATGGATGGCTGTTTTAGAGATTAATGGCCCAATGGTGGAGTAATGGTTTGGTTCAATTGTAAAATCATCCAACTAAACCAACAGTGAGAAGACACTCTGGAACAAGATTACCATAATAACCAGACATACAAACCTGGATGACGAGCACCGTGTTGTTTGACAGCTACTGGAGAGTTGATAATAGCTGTGAGTAGGATCACCACAGTAAGTAATCATGGCTGTGGGTAGGATCATCACAGTGAGTAATCATGGTTGTAAGTAGAATCATCACAGTGAGTAATCATGGCTGTAAGTAGGATCATCACAGTGAGTAATCATGGTTGTAAGTAGAATCATCACAGTGAGTGTGGGCTCTTTACCAACTCGCAAACCCTCCAAGTCCTTCGAAATCATCAATTGACCACTCTTCCAACCAGGTCACGATGACATCTACATCGCCATGATCAGAAGCAACTGGTGGGGAACTCAACACCGCACCCCAATCAAGCGTGGATGGAGCACCAGCTCCGTCCATAGTGATCGTATGTTAAACACCTCACATCACAAGATTGTTCTGCTGAGGCTTCTGAATCGAGATGTTTCGCCGGTGCCGTACAAGCCCTACGTTCCCCATTTCTCCACCATCAATACCAGTGGTTCCCCATTTCTCCACCGTCAGTACCAGTGGCTCCCCATCGCTTGAACAGACTGCTCATCCAATCAGTAAACTTCAAGCCAAGAGCTGTTTGATGTTGTATAATAAGCGGCCAAGATGCTACACTTCTTTTCATCAAGTGCAATATGTCTTGAACAGTTTTCACACTTTTCATGTTCTTTGAATACCTTCTTTTACTTTCCTTAACAACCACCCAATCACACTCCCTACTCCATACACACAAAGTACATATTGTCTGTTTGCAACTGTACAGTTGCCTAATTCCCAAAATTCAGAGAAACTTGAAGAGCTGTTCTGGCCTGTCAACCCCACATATCCACACGCGGGATGTACGCTTCCGTTGCTTGCGATCTTAAACAGGTTGTATCCATATAAAAGCAAAGCATAACACCGTTGTCTCTACATTCTATCAATGGAAGCAAAGCTTAGGATCAACATCAATCTTCTAGAGACTTTGAAGCATGTCAGACAAGGAAAGCCAGATGCTCAATACCTCACAAAGCCAAGAACGTGCGATTGATGCAGGCTGTGATGACTTGCAGGAAGACGTTGAACATCAACAAGTCCCAGTGTCAAAGGTGTTCACATCGGGCGAAAGGGACGAATACGTGATGATTGGACGTACAAAGGTCCTCCGCTCTGAGCTTTGGAACGCTTTTGGTGGTGATCTACAACCTGGTATCCATGCCCCACCACCTCGTCGGTTTGCCAATCCTGCACCTTTGGGACTATGTGGGTTTGCCTTGACAACGTTTGTGCTCTCCATGTCCAACGCTCGTGCTATGGGCATCACTGTTGCAAACGTTGCTGTTGGCCCTGCTTTCTTCTACGGTGGTATCATTCAACTGCTGTCAGGAATGTGGGAAATTTCTCTGGATAACACGTTTGGTGGGACCGTGCTCTCGTCGTATGGTGGGTTTTGGCTGAGCTGGGCTGCAATTCAGATCGACTGGTTTGGTATTCAGAGAGCCTATGACGATCCAATTATGCTTAACAATGGTTTGGGATTCTTCCTGTTAGGCTGGGTTATCTTTACGCTGATGGTTCTCATCTGTACCGTCAAGTCTACTGTGGCCTTCTTTTCTCTGTTCTTCTTCCTGGAAATGACCTTCCTACTGCTAACCATCGGCGAATTTACGCGTAGTGTCGGCGTTACAAGAGCAGCTGGTGTCTTTGGTGTTATCACTTCATTCTTAGGCTGGTACAATGCTCTTGCTGGGTTCGCCACTAGAGAGAACAGTTACTTTGTTGCCACAGCAGTGCCTTTACCTGGTGCAAAGCGTGCTCAAGTGCACTCCTAGCTTAAGCTTCATGTCATCAAGCCATATATAATATCTAGTGAATACAGTTGAACAAAAGCAAAAAATTATATTACAGGAATGCTATTATATGATTTATTTATCTTTAACCTCCACTTCTCCGTTACAATTGAGACAGGCATACGCCTGTACGACAGACCCATCTTCCTTTGTAAACGTTTTCTTACCTCTGGCTTTCATGGTGGCCCATTCTCCCTTTGCAGGTATACGACAGCAGCTCTTGGAGATGCATCTTGCACCGGTCTTCTTGTACCTGAGTCCACATGAATTACATAGCTGACCAGCGGAAGTTGACCACGATGGTCTCCAGCAGGGTGATTGGTCTGAACCACAGGATATACACTTGCGCTTGTTCTGGTGGTGATGATGTATCGTGTAAGAATGGTTTGGACCCTTATGGTTTTGGGTGTGAATGAAGTCGTTGGTCTTCAATACCACCTGTTCGTTCAACTTATGATGGCCAGACCATCTCTTGGAGCTTGGAGATATCTGCTGAGTGGTGGTGGAGATTGGAGAGCTCATTGGTGTTTGCACTGAGTAAACATAGTTGTTCTCAAGAGGAGATTTTGGCTCTGTCACCAACACTGGTTGGGGAGCAATTGGCGATGATTGCGTCCAGCGCGTCATCGTTGGTTTGTTATCCCCAGAACCAGAGTGGTCAGAAAACGATTTGTAATAAGGGTTGACTTTCTTGGTGACCATCTTCTTGCTAATCTTTGAGTTGAAGCATGGTACTCTCTTCACCTTTTCCAGTTGCTCTTTCAGCTCTGTGAGAAAGATAGCATCGTTCAACAGTTCGAAGCCTGGTTTGTCGTATCTCAAGAAGTTCTTCAGCTTGTGGAACATCTCTGGGAAGTTTCTCTCGATCCAAACCTCCAAGTGCAATCTCCAATCATCATCATTGACACAGGTGTCTGGATAATCCATTGCATAGAGAGATCCTGTGGTGGAATATCTATCATTCTGTGTCAAGTATTTGAATGATGGTAGCTTAACAGTCGATGGTGAGGAACCAACTGGAATGACAGTTGGAACGGATAACACCGGTGACGCCTTCTTAATCTGAACTGGCTCGGCCAACTGTGCTTGAGCAAGTGTGGCAGAAGGAGTCTTTGGTGTTGCTAATGATAATGGTTGTCCCATCAGTGGTGAAACTGGGAGCGGTAGTAGAGTTGCATGCGATGACACCGGGGATGCTGATCTTCCTCTGGTGAACACAGCAGCTAAAGGAGGTGTTGGAGGAGCAGTCTTGCATCTCTTGTTAGATTGCTCCAAGATATCCAAATCATCCAAGTATCTCTTTCTCTTGAGAGAGTCAGAGGATGCAGACGAAGGAGAAGTTGGTGGTAGCACGGACTGGAAAATGTTACCTTGCATGCCGTGTGATAATTGTGGGAACACAGTATTCATCTCAGGAAGATCTGGGTGACTTGTGTTATTACTTGAGTTCTGTATCTTTGCTGAATAGATTGCAGAAACCTCTGTATGAGAAATGGTGGCTCCTTCAGGTACTCTGTTGAACGTATAGTAACAGTACCTTGGAGATAGACGATGGCTTTTGCGGGTGATAAACTGAAGCCAAAGGACACACGAGTGATTAGTGAGTGTCAATGATGAATCCGTGTTAAGAGTAATAGCGACTTGCTAACAACTGGCCCAAGTACCTCTATTAATTACTGTATGATGGTGATAAAATGCCCCGATAACGGATGATGTAATTATGGTTTGATCTCTTTCCCTCGTTACCTTGACAACAACAAGACAAACAAACAAAAAAAGAGTTGATGTACTTTAATAAACCGAGATCTCAAAAAAGGACAAAAAGCGGAAAACTTGTGTGTGGTGTTGCGAAAATTAGTTGAGTCACGCAGAGTGGGAGCGAATGTGTAATCTGTGATGTGAAAAGTGAATGACAAATCAACGAATGGCTATGATGCTGAGCGATCAGTTCGGAGTGAATGAATGGTGCGTTTGGAAGAAAAGTTCTCTCACATGAATGGAAGATCAGCTCAAGTTGGGGGTAATCATGATCTGTATTTATATATCGAAAAAATGATGATTCAGATCACATTCCGCTGAACGGGTGGCAGGTTCTTCCCTCTGTACAACCCACATATATGAGATCAATCATGTACATCAAAGTCAGTACAAAATTCCAATAAGAGAGGGATCAGAGGGGGAAACATCTGCAAGCCACATAAAACGCACACACGTAGAGCTTAAAGGGCGACCAATGATTGCGCCCCGCCTGACTCGCAATGTGCTGTTAAGGCAAATTTCCCGATCTGTATGCTTTGCTTACCCTTTTGGCCCACTTTCTCCCTTAAAATTGAGCTGCGATGGGATAAAATTGAAAGAAGGCTGGTTTTGTTGTTAAGATCAATTGGCAGACACAAAATTTTCATGCGGGCAGAGGCGCTGGTAAAGTACAAAAATAATCAAAGGCCAAAAAAAAAGAAACTCTGATCCGCGCATGTCCCAATCGGGAAGTTGCATGATCCGTATTTGGATCAGATTTTTCCACCGTTCAGAATCAGATAACACGTCGGTTGGAGAATGCATTGATTATAGCAAATCGAGGAGGAGAAACGAGAGAAGGACTACCATCATGGACGATACTGTTGAAGTGTGGTATAAACTGACGAATTGTTTCGATGGTGTGGTGTGGTTTGTTGCCCTCGAGAGACCACAGCCCGAAATTCCGACTTTGAGAGGGTGCAAGTTCCGAATGGTTGGGCATTTCCTTTTTCGGACTATTTCCCGATAAGGATAATATTACAGATCAGTGCCTGTGTTTTTTTTTTCTCTCTATTGTCTGCCTATAGCATCGTTTCCTGTATAATTCAGTGTGGTATATACCACCTGGTATACTACTCACATATAAACATCCGCCTGTTGTTATGCTTTAAGGTTCCAAGGTGATTTGGCTGGTGTATAATAGTGTGGAGCCATAGACTGTTACTCAAGTCTGAGCTCTTGAGCTGTAGCACTCCCACGATGAAGTAAATCTATGAACACACAACCACTTCTAACTCTCGTAACTTAACAAAGACCCCATATCAATACAATTGACAGGCTCCAAAGGCTTCAGGCCGTTCGAATTGATTGTAGGTATATGGGGGATAGCACCAAAAAGTGCTCGTAACCTCAAAAGGGTTATCCGGCCTCTCCCTCTGTGAAACCATCCAGACATCCATTTTCCGGCGTAAAGCCGGTAGGCTGTTGTTGTGTGTGTGTGCTCCGACTGGCTACGGGAAAAGTGTCCCCACGACCACGACCACACACACGGGGAGAAGACCAAGTGACAAACCTCGAAGTTCTTCATCAACATCAACAACTCTCGGGCTCAGCTTCACATAGAGCAATGTATAACAATCAAACGCAGCGAAATACTACACAGGTACAGCGAGAGTTCTTGCAAAGGCTTCAACAACAGAACAGAGCCAGCGGTCTACTCAATAACAGTCATAATACCGTCATGAACAACAACTCTAACAACCCAACGCCCAAGAAGACGACACCTTCGACGTATGGATCCAGACCTGGCCTTATGGCTAATTCCTCGGTGTTCACGCTTCTACCCTATAAGACCAGAAAGGATGCCGTTAGACGTTCAGTCCTGCAAAAGTATAGTGTCTTGGGCTATATAGCGTCTGGTACGTATGGCCGTGTCTATAAGGCCGAATGTCGTCAGGATAAGAAGTCGCTGTACGCCATCAAGAAGTTCAAAGCTGATAAGGAAGGTGAGATTGTATCGTATACCGGGATTTCACAGTCTGCCTCGCGTGAAATGGCTCTATGTCGAGAATTGAACCATACAAATATCACCAAACTGGCCGAGATCATCCTTGAAAACAAGTGCATCTATATGGTTTTTGAATATGCAGATCATGACCTTTTACAAATTATCCACTACCATACACATCCAGATACCAAATCAATACCGGATCAAGTCGTTAAGAGTATCATGTGGCAAGTGTTGAACGGGGTAAGCTATCTCCATCAGAACTGGATCCTTCACAGAGATTTGAAACCTGCAAATATTATGGTGACGAGCCAAGGTGTGGTTAAAATTGGTGATCTGGGTCTTGCGAGAAAGTTCAATAATCCTTTACAAACTCTCTACAACGGTGATAAAGTTGTTGTGACGATTTGGTATAGAGCTCCCGAGCTGCTTCTAGGAGGCAGACACTATACATCTGCAATTGACCTTTGGGCAGTTGGTTGTATATTTGCAGAGTTACTAGCACTGAGACCGATGTTTAAAGGTGAAGAGGCTAAAATGGACAACAAAAAGAACGTTCCATTCCAAAGAAATCAAATGCAAAAGATAGTTGAGATATTGGGTACTCCAACAGTGAATCAATGGCAATCTTTGCCAAAATATCCAGAATATACGGCATTACAAGAGTTCAAACAATTCCCTTCAAATCTACAAGCATGGTACCAGTCAATAGGTGCAACGAATAAAAGAGGTTTAGAGCTGTTGGCAAGTTTATTGGTTTATGATCCTGCTCAGAGAATGACAGCATTTGATGCATTGATACATCCATACTTCCTAGACCCTCCACGTGTGTTGGAAAACATTTTTGAAGGACAAAATTTCAAATACCCTTCAAGACGTATTCACGCAGATGATTCAGATATAACAAGTTCGCAGACAAATACTGCAAAGAGGGCTGCATTCAGTGATGATACTTTCCACCAGAGAAAGAAGATCAAATGAATTGCATTGGTGTTTTCTTTAACGTTAAAAGTCATGACATTTTTTTTTATAATGAGCTCAAAAGTTTTCTATCGTTGGTGTTGTTATACCATCAACTGCAATATCGGACATTAGGGGCGTAGTACCGTTGACAGCAGTGGTATTATTGGCAAGATTGTCATCACCAGTAGCTGTTAGAGGACCCGACTGTACAACTGGAACATCTTCCTCAGGAAGGAAGAACGTTGTTGGCAAAATCTTCTTCTTTGAAGAGGTAATCTTACCATTAGGCGGCAACTTTGGTTTGGAATGCTTCTTTGGGTAATCCAGATCGTCCATAATCACAACATCCGTAGCATTGGCCATATAATCAGAAGTCTCTTTCTTTGTCTTGTACTGTTTACTATTGAATACTTTGGTCTTTTGTAAACACTCCTCCAATATCGGTTGAAACAGCTTGATCTGTAATTCGATCTGATCTTGTTTAACACGTGGATACGGTGCACTCTCAAATTCCTCACGTTTAATGCCCTTACTATCGTCATTGGCATTCGTCTCAGCAAATCTCGATTGCAGTAAATGCAATGGGATACTACCTCCAAGCATACCAAACTCCTTGTCAAGACCCAACTCCTTAAATCCAAAGAAATCATCACCAAGCTCATTCGAAAACTCACCAGATAAGAACTGTTCAGAGTCGTCGGCAAATGTCTTTTCAGTCATCTCAAACGCAGGTCTCAACAGCTGCTTCAAGAAGGACTGCAATTTCACTTTCAAATCTTTCAACTTTGTACCTTGCTTCAAAACAGACTCTGTAACGTAATGATGCAATTCATCTGGCTTTATTATACCGTTTTCTAACAACGATAGAGTTAGAATGTTTTTCTTCTTTTGCGCCTGGTTCTGTGATGGGGTTTCAATGTGCTGTTTCATCGTCTTGACCAAATTGTCCAAAAACGATCCCGCAATCTCACTTAAACAGTCAATTGCAAACATTTCCGTGGACTCAAATCCACTTTGCATCGCAATTTTAGATACCCGCTTCTTCATGACATAAAACATAAGCTCTTTGTTCATCTTTTCATGATTCTCCAGTCTTGATACCGGATCAATATCAATAGAATCATCAATCTTTTCAATCTCAGGGGCACGAAGTTGTGTATGATGAAGGAACGTCTGTTGTTGCATCTGTCTGATCAATGATATCTTGAAGCAGATCTGTCTAATCTGTTGCATCTCATGGATATTATCATTAATGACAGCATTGAGACCACCATCAGTAGATATGAATTCTGAGGGTTTTAAACCTTCTTGCATGACTTTTTCAGCAAGTTTAGCTTCGTATTGGTCAGTCTCTTCTTCAGACATCCCAACATACGGTAAGGCAGGGAGCCCACCAGCAATGTCGTATTCAATCAAGTACAGGTCGTCATCAGTGGTTTTTGCAGAAGGGTTAAAAATGTGTCGTCTTGCCTCTGAATAATGCTTTAGATAACTCTCAAAGTTTCTCAATTTCTTCGGATCTCTCAAAATGGCATCGCTATCAGGGTTCAAAGTGTTATCTCTGAAAAGCTCTGATCTTTTAATACAAAAATCAGATCTTGTCTTGGAAGTGAAGTTCTTCCATGTTTGGATCTCTAGATCATCCTTGTCGTTATCCTCTGTATTCAGATATTCATTAGTTTCACCGTTGTCATCATCTTCTAATTCAGTAGCATCGTTTATCGTAGATGTGTTAGGTGCAGGTGTCGGAGTACCACTCGTTACACCAACGCCATTCGCTATCAATGCTGCTGTTGAATTTGGCGCAGTAGCAGTGGTAGTATTAATAGCATTAGTCGTATTGGTAGTGGTTGCTGTTGTTGTCGATGCCGCTGGTGTTTCAACATTTGTCATTGTAGTTGGTGCAGGAGTTTCCTCCTTAGATTCGTCTTTGATCTCCCCATTACGTGTTCTCTTCTTGCCTTTTTTCGATGAAGTTCTAGCATGTGGTACAGGTGTACCTGGCTCATCGATATGTGCTTCCGCTTCCACTTCTGCCCTGTCTCTTATAGTGATATCCGGTATCAATGGTAATAGTTGTAATGATTTCTTCTGCATTGCAATGGCATGCACTCTAAGGAAATGACGGGGATCGGAGTTGTAAGTCAAGCAGTTTTTCCAAATTAACAAAACATCCTCCATGAACTCAGATTTTGACTTGTATTGGAACCCTTTAAGTTTCTTCAAGATGGTATTCAGGTCCATTGGTTTTTTAATAATCTGATAATAGTTTGGTGCTTCTCTCTTTGAAACTTTGTTCAAAAATGCCGTCGAATGTTCTGTATAGTTTCTCAGCTCCATAACAACTTTCTCACAGGCTTCATAGAGCTCCTCCTGGCCAATCTTATCATCTGACGCCCATTTGGAACGATTCTTTCTCACATCCATGATCAACTGACGAAGTTCATTGTCTTGTAATTGGAGTCTATCCTTTTGATCGTCAATTGCGCGCAGCAAATGTTTCAAAGAGAGATTTGCTGCACCCAGGTTCATCGAGATAAGGTCTTTAGGGTTTGAGGTGTCATTTTCAAGGAGTTTATCGTTCTCCTCAAGTTTCCTTCTTTTGATCAGTGTATCCTTATCGCTTTCAAAGTTGTGGTAGATCTTGTTGAAGTTTTCAATGAGTTTTTTATTGTCAAATTGAGAAGTTTCTGTGGTTGGAACAATGGGTACCTCAAGCACCGTGTTACCTGATTCATCAACTGTCAATTCATCTGTTGGCTCAGCCGGAGCAGCTCCAGAGTTTGCAGTCTTTTTTTCTCCATCTCCTTCGTCTTCATCTTCGTCGTCATATTCATCATCTTCGTCAACTTCTCTCACAGCTGTAGTTTTGTCAACCTCGGATTTCTGTTCTGTGTTCCCATCATCTTCCGGTTCAAACAATTCATACTCCTCTGCATTCTTCTCATCATACAAAAGGTCAATTGCCTTATCCCAAAGGATATAACGAACCTTTAACGCCAACGCTCTACCTGAATCCACACCCTCGGGTAACGATACATCAACTATCACCTCGTCTTTACTCTTATCGTCGTCCAGTTTAGATTCGTGTCCGTCATTATGCGGTTTTTCCCTCTTGTGATTATTCTCCTCCTTCGCATTCTCAGCGTCAATAAACTTCAAATATAGCTTTCCCTGTAATAGCGCTCTGAACAATTCCCTTTCATGGCCCTTCAGACCAAACACCCGGTTCAGCACCGCCAACTGTTGAGCGGTAAGGTAGTAATCAAACGCACGTCGACGGAACAACCGCGCCGCTATTGTATAGAGTCTATCCACATCGTTTGATTGGAATATATCAAGCTCCTGAGACATTTCTCCTTCTCTCTTCGTCTATCTCCAGATTTGTGGAATCGGTTGCTCAGCAAAAATATATAACCGCCTGGTTTGATGTCTCAGCCGCCGCCGTTTGTTGATGTTTTCGTCTTGTTGACGTTTTTTCTCGATGTAAATTTACACACAGCGTTTTCCTCTTTGTTTTCAATTTTGATGTTTTATGGAGAGGGGGCTTTTGTGGTTCTTACTTAGAGTGGGAAAATTCGCGCATCAGACATTGGAGAAAACAGGCACGTGACTTTGATGAGCATAGGAGAGCTCATGAGAACCTATCTGAAGCTGATTGATTGCTTTTAGAACAATTTGGCTGGAATATGGTGCGTTGTAATGGAATTTATACAACTGATTCACAGTAACTCCTACTCGTTCACCACTAACCACGGAGCTTTGGAATGAGGATATTATAGCATTTAATTTCTTACTAAGCGTGGAAAGTGATCAGTTTGAACAGGGGACACACCCGCACAGCAACAACTGGACGGGAAGCGCAGTTGTGTGGATCCACAGTTTTGACTTGATTGCAACATGTATCTGTAGTTTCATAGGGTTGGTCCTGTAGGCTATAAGATCAGTATGACTAGACCAGACGTTCCTATTCCGGAGTCTCCGCAACCACCTTTCCCAGTTGAAGAGCACAACGTGACGGTTATCGCAGGTTTTGGGCGTGGATCAGCAGAGCTGGGTATACCAACGGCTAACATCTCGACAAAGGAGGTTAAACAGGTTACACAATTAGACCCGGGTGTCTATTTTGGATGGGTTAAACTACACAAGAAACAGGATGCTACCCACTCTGATATAAAGGAGAGGGAGAGTGGGAAACAGGTTGAATATAGCTATGGGTTAGGGCTCGAAGAAGGCAAAGACCTTGAAGTTGTACTACCAACGGTGATGAGCATTGGCTGGAACCCATTTTATGGGAACAAGGAGAAAGCCATTGAACTGCATATAGTCCATCAATTCCCAAAGGATTTCTACGGTGCCACAGTGTGTTTCAACGTACTTGGATACATCAGACCGGAACTTAACTACACGACAAAGGGTATGTTACATTTCTTTGTATTGCATGCATGCGGATTACTAACGGCATATACAGAGGCCTTGATCAAGGATATACAGACGGATATTGAGATTGGAATTCAAACACTCAATACTCCACAGTACCAAAAGTATAAAAGACTTTAGATAAGAACTCATTTGGCAGCTATGAATAAGGATTCATTTGATAAACCGTATAGATGAGGAGTCTATGATAATATAACTATGTAATGGTTCCCTGATTGGTTCGGTTTAGGTTATATGTAACAGACATACAGCGCTTTTAAATGTCCTTCTTTGCCTCGTCACGCTCATTAGAACCCGTGAACATATCCGCAAGGATGGCATATGCCACTTTTACCATTCTATAGAACCAGTACAAGTTCAACACGTTTAAGATCATGTTACCCGTAAAGATCACTATAGCACCAATGGTGTTGAAGCGAGGGTCCTGATATTCGTCGTAGAAGTCACCAAAGAGCATCGCAGCCTGGTACCAACCGTAGCAGATTCTCACGAAGAAGAAGATGAGGATCAAGACGGCGTTGTTGACGAGCTGGAACCATGATGGGAAGACCTGAGGGAATTTCAACCCAAACCATCTGAGGTTCAAGAACGGAGTCGACAGTTCAAACAGGATGAAGATACCAGAGTAGTACGCAATGAATGGCCCCAATCCAATGTAGAAGACACAGGCACTCACGACTCCATGGACAAGGAAGCTCACGCCGAAATAGTTAACATACACAAGGGAAATAATCGCATCCCAGATGAAATATCCCAGCGCCGCAGTGGTGACGAACCCACAGTAGGGCGTGTATCCAAAGACCCTATCGTTCACCAAAACAGGGTCCGTAAACAAGGGAATGATCAGGAACAGGATCAACACGGACTGAATCATCGACACAACATGGATGTTGAAATCTATGCGCGTCTTCCTTGGCAAGGTTCTGAACGTCTCTGCAAAGACCATTGGCGCCAGCACTGAAGACGACAGGTAGATCGCATGGTAGAACAGTATACATGCCACCAGCTCGTGGATATGGTTATCCAACGTTTGGTGCGTATACAAGGGCTTCAGGTAGTCATCCACAAATGGCACGATAAGGAAGGCCAACGGGTCGTCATACCGGGTCGCCGTGATAACCTCAAAGACCATGGTTCCTCTAAGTGGTATGGTACGAGTTTTTAAAGTGTATCAACAGATAACAAAGACACTGGGCACGCCTTCGCTCTGCAATTGAGTTGTGTCTCGATGAACTTCACCAACGTTTTCCCGCTCTATTTAGCCGAGACGTCAGCTGGGCTTTTTATGTGAGAACATTTCCACCCTCACGCTGTTTTCAACACCGCGAGCCGGGCGGTCTCTCTCGCCCACCCGCCGTCCAAACCAGCGCGGCAAGTCGGCCAACGGCGGCTAGAGAGAGACCAAAGGGCATGTGATCATACACCCGCACACCTCACACATAACGTTACCGTGGAAACGACCTGGTGGCCTTGCTTACGTAATGTATTATGTCATCAGACCGTACCGTCAGCGATGAGATACGCATCATGCACAGCCCGAATTCGAGATTAGCAATGTACGAATTGTGTCTCGTGTTCTGTGTGTTCAGGGTCCTTTGAGCTGTAAGCATTATCCAGTATCAACATCCACCATCTCAGCTACACACGATGAGGATTCTACGACATCTTCTCATAGCAAGTTTGGTAGTGCTCTGTGCAATCGGCTCCAAGACAGGCCTCCCAAGAGATGAGGAGTGTGACATTTCTGGGCTGCGCGAGAAGAACGACTCCGCCATATGTCTCTATATCAAGCACCAATGTGCTACAGAGATGTTTCACTGGTCTGAATGGTACTTCTGCGGCCATTCGTCTAAACATAAGCTGGTTGTGATATCACTGTTGATTCTGATCATAGTGCTGATATTTGTTGCCTTTAGCGTCATCACCTCGAACTTCGTGTATCCGAATCTGAACCTCTTGTCCAATTACCTGGGCATATCAGAGAGGATAAGTGGGTTGACGCTGCTGGCTCTTGGTAATGCCACCCCTGATATATTCAGCACTTATACTGCATTCACGTCTAACTCTTCAGGGTTGGCGTTTGGGGAATTGATGGGGTCGGCGAACTTTGTCATTTGCTTTGTCATTGGTGCCATGGGATTGTTGAGACCATTCAAAGTGCACCATCATGAGTTTATGAAGGATCTGTACTCATTCCTCTCCTTTATTATCTTGGCGTTGGTACTCATAGCAGATGCCAAGTTGTGGAACGGGGAATGTGCCCTGATGGTGATTGCTTATATCGCATACGTCATCTATACCATAGTGTTTACGAATGAAGGTAAGGAGTATGAGGTTGAAGGGGATGATGAGCATCACGTGTTGGTACCCAACTCTGATACTCTATCACCTCCACTGGATACAATCATCGCAGAGTCGATCAAATCAGGAGATTTGGATCTTGATGTTGATAGAATAAGGAATTCACAGAAGCTGAGTGTCTTCCAGGCACAACGGGTCTGGAGAGCCTTATCTCCTGCTAATTCTCCTTCCAGAACTGGCTCTCCTTCAATATCAAGATCCGTATCGGAGCAGTTCCAGTCTTCTAAACGTTTTTACACGTTTCCTGAGATGGCGATGAGTGATGATGCAACAAACTATTATCCAAAGATAGTGTCACCAACACCTCTGCCTGCACCCCAGATTACAGTGACAGAGGCATCTGAGGATTCACATGGATCTGAGGAACCGCATGGGTTAAATGAGGCACATGAACATGAGGGTCTACACGTTTTGAATGAGGCAAATGAAGCTGAGGAATCACGGGAATTAAATGAAGGACATGAAACTGATCTATCATACGAGCCTCTGGCAGAACGTGTCGATGAAACAAACGATGATCATAGCACCATCTCTTCAGTTATGATTGAGATAAGCGGTGATTATCCCTGGAGATTTCTGTTGGAGCCCTTTGTTGATGAACCAATAACCACTTTCAACATCATTTCAGCTCCTATTGTGATTCTCTTCAACGTTATGATTCCAACTTATCCAGAGAAGTGCACCGAGTCTCCACGACTATATGAATCAGAGCTCAATTTGAGGAAAAGGCTTATGTACTTCCAACTGTTTACATCGCCTTTTTTGCTTTCATTCTTGCTGTTTCCTCATCTTACGCTCACACCAAGGCTTCTAAACTCTATGGCTCTGGTACTCATCAATGTCCCACTTAACCACTATGCCAGTGTCACTTTACCACTTACTGGCTTCGTATTGTCAATTGTGACGATCATGTCTCTCAGCTCAGTGCTTATACCTATATTGAAAAACATTGGTGTTATCTTCCAAATATCCGAATCTTTACTGGGCCTGACTATTCTTGCACTGGGTAATTCTGTTGGTGATCTTATTTCAAATCTAACCCTTGCAAGGCTTAATCTTAGTGTCATCGGTGTCAACGCCTGCTTTGGATCGCCTCTTCTCTACATCTTGTTAGGGATTGGAGTCAATGGGTTGGTTGTTAATGTTCGTAAAGGTGCACCTTATATGCCAATCCAAGTGGATTCTCATTTCAAGGTTTCTAGCATAGGTCTCGTCACGATGTTATGTTTCTATGCGATTTATATTCCGTTGAATCGTTGGTGGATAGACCGTAGAGTTGGTGTGATCGGTATCACATGGTGGTGTCTAATAACAGCTGTAAATGTTTACTTTGAAATCAAGCGATAAGTGAATGATATTAAATAACGAATGAATATATTAATTAAAACGAAAACTCCTCCAGAACCATATTCACTCTATTGGTCTTCATCTTCTCAACAGCGAATGACCGTAGTGAGGACATTAAAGAACTAGGACCACACCCGATTATGTGAACAGTTTGATAGGTTTCTTCCATGTAGTCGTACAACAGCTGCTCCAAGTCGGCAGGTCCCTTCTCTGTGGAGTTCCATACTGTGATGTTGCTCTTTGTAATATCCAGATCTATAAGCGGTATCAGCTCTTCTGAACGAGTGATCCATATCAACGAAGTTTCAAAGTCTTCCGAGTTTTCATAATGCTTCAAGAGAGGTAATGTCAGTGAAATTCCAACACCACCTGAAACGAGGATGATCTTTTCCTTTGGATTAAAGGATTCAATGCTGGAGAGAGAGTTTGAGGTTCGTTCCACAGTGGTGTACAGTACTTTCTTAATCAATGGACTCGATTCATGCACTGCGCTATCTTGAACTTGTCCCAAAATTGATTCATCAGTAGGAAGTTGACTGTTCGAAGTACCGTAGGGTCCATTGATAAAGCAAGTGAATGACTGCTCGCCATGTTGTACCCTTTCGCAGAGTTTCCTTGTGAATCCGTTGTGTACTTTTATGATCAATTGACACGATTCATCGCTTGGTAAGGAAGCAATTGTGAATGGATGTGATTGGAAAGCACTTATTGAGGGGATTGTTATAAAGAGATGGTTAGAAGGTCTCCATCTGAAATCTTTTTTGTTCTTCAACAAGAGCTTAGCAATTACCCGTTGTGTTTTCGACAAAGATGATGATCTTGGATCAATAGAAACCACCATATATTTGGAATTCCTCGTGACTTTCACTGTACAATTGAGGCACCACAGGTACCAAATGTAGCGTATTAGCCTATCATAGACCAGGAATCCAGCAACGATAACGACAAATGTTTTACAGACATAATGATGTTTGAAAAACACTGGTAAAAACAATATGAAGCTGCAGAGGTGGATGTAGTAAAACATTTCATAAAACCTGGTTCTCATGAACTTAACAGATGATACTGATATGGCCAAGAAGACAAACAGGCAGAAATACCCAGTGAGCATCTTGGGACTTGAAAGACAATAATCCCATGTTAGCATTAGGAAGAATGCCAATCCATGGAGCACTGCGGTCATTACCACCAGTATACCCACCCACTTGTGATAAATAATGATTGTCTCATAAGAAACCTCAAATAAATGCAGTAGAGGCCCACTCTTCAATGGGATGAGGTAGAGTAAGGGTATATTTGAGCTAGAGACGAGACCTGCCCTTAGGGCAAAATTGAATTGGTCATTCCATGGTAATTTATAGAACAGCACAAAGGTATTGATGACATAGAAGATGGTTATATTGAAGAACACGCCGTTTGAGCTGAACTGATTCCTTAGAAAAGGCAGTGTCGGTTGGCGATGCCAAAGTCGTTGAATCCAATGATGAGGCTTGTGGTTGTGGTTAGGTCTCCTAAGCCATTTGTTGAGAACACTGGTTACTAAAAGTGCCAGCAGTACAGCTACCATAAAGTACTGATATCCCCATGTTATCTTCTTTGTGAATCCAATGTGGAGGTAAATGAGGTCCCGATCTTTCTTGAAAGGATCTTCGCCGACGAAAGGATTTTTGTGAGTGGCCATCCTCTTTTACCATCTATACGGCCATAAGATCACACCTATAACGAAATATGAGGAGCCTGTGTCTTATCAATAAACGAGATCAATCGAACAATATCAATCGAACAATAGTAGTTGTAAGGTGTTTACAAGCATGGAAGGCAACTATATGAGAATTCAAACCCATGTGGCTTGTGCGGTTTCGCACTGCAATTTTATATGAGAATTGGGTGTCAATGCTCGCTTCGCCTGCATATCGACGTTATGATGCCCAAATCGGGCACAAGATCCGCACACGTTAGACTAAGAAAAGCTTTGA